TTCTTACTGCATTACATGCTTAACGTCTTTATTCTGTAATTGTTTTGTTTAATCTATATACTGTATATATGTAATATATATAGGGGATGTTTGCTTGTTTGGGTCAGAAAATAGATAACAGAAATTTTAATAGTGATTAATAAACAAAACACAGTCTTTTAAAACTCTTAAACAGATGTCATGAGGCACAGTTACATTGTATGAGTATAACAATATGACCATTCAATAAAGTTAGTGGTACCCAAACCTTTACAAGATTGACGTGTGCCATAGAGCAGTGTTGGACCAAAGAATCTTAACTATGCTTTTCCATTTGTGCAGGAATCATTAAAGTTAAAGTGCTGAAACCCATACCAACTGAAGGAACCACCCCTGATGATGTTTCAGTGATAACAGAAAATGTTCGTCAAGTAATGCTCAAGGTTTTCCATCAACATGATCACACTGGCAATGAAAATGATGCATCTTCAATTGATGACAAAAAAATTAACTGAGATTTCCTCAATGTCAAAATTATTATTTAATAAGATATGAAAACAAATAAATTTAAAGTGTACATTTTTTTATACAGAAATATGGAAAAGTGTGTCAAAGTGCATACAAGCTAAAGAATACTATATTTGACAGAACAGTTACGTAAAAGAAAAATAAATGTATAAGGAAAATAAGCCCCCAAAATGTAACATAAAAAAACCCTCCGTTAAATTGCAAATATAAGCAAGAATTTGCCCTCGAATACTAAAGCAAAGAATACAATGGTTTTGAAATGCAAATTTTTGGATAACAGCAAAAATAACAGGGCCTTTGAAAAATATAAGCCCGGGGCTTATTTTGTTTTTTATTATAATTATACTTCCACACTTGTCTTTCATTTCAGAAATGCAAATTAATTATTACAGTGTGCTGAACCTAATACCATTGTTAGTCCACTAACGCCAAATTACATAATCTACGCATTTTTTCATCCTACCAATTTCTCATTTACTAATATGGAGAATTTATTTATTATCACTTGAACACATTTTATCTTTGTTGATGATTTTCTTCATTTGAATGACATTTATTTTTTATAAGGTTTTAATGTGGGGAAATAGATACTCTTGTAAGCATTAGGGATTTAAGAGTTGACAATCTTATTGTTTGAATTTCTCAACATTGCAAACCAAGCAGATTCTTAATATCTCAGTTAATCAGTGGGAGTGTGAATTATTTGGAATACTTTTTGTAAGGAAATTCTATTTGAAAGAGGCTCAAAGGTCCTCATTTGTTACTTATAAAATCAGTTCATGATACTAGGGTTGGAGACCCATTTTGTTTTAAGTGTCATGGAGTTCAGATAATTAATGTTTCAACCAAGTGTGTAGGAGATAGAGTGTAATTTGAGCCCGAAAAGTGTTTCTTTTTTCAGTAAAAGATGTTTTGCCTGCACCCAACCCAGCAGCCAGGCTGGACTTGAGCCAACCTCATCCCCTGGGGCTCTTTTCTTCCTGTCTCTGGGAGTGACAGGAAAAAGAGAGACCTGGGAGGCTGGAAACGAGGCTTGTCTCAAGCCAAACTTCACAACAGTGGCATTCTAAGAATTGGGAATGGGGCCTCTGCACTCAGGTTGTCTAAACCTTGCACTCCATTTCCACTGCTCAGTCAAGTAGGAGCACGGTTCCATTTCCAGAAGAGCAGCTGGTAATCCAGCCTATTTAAATTTTTATCATTGTGAGTAGAAAGTACGATAATGAAACTTTAAACTGATATAAAATTTACCCGTAATTTTGTACATTTATTTTACATTTTAAGAGTGTTGTGTCATAGTCCTTTGGGTAAATTCAAGAGACGTAAGCAAACTATAAGTTCTTTGGTTTTCTATGAAATTTTATAAGATCTTTAACTGTTAAAACTCTGTTAATTGTTTTTATAGTGATGGTTATTTTTAACAATAAAATGGCGTGCTGAGGTCAATAAAAGTTAAAGTGAATCGAGACTTGTCCTTAACTGGACGTTCTATACGTTGAAAAATTGAACAAATCTAAGAATTTTCACATATGGGATAGGTTTCTGTGCAACTCACCTTTGGCGCAGTGTGAACAGGTGATCATGCTATTCCGTCTATACCAGATACCTTTTCATGTCAACGTAAAAAGCGATCCGGAATAGAGAGGAGAAGTGTGACGTCACGTTACTAAGGTAGCACTATTTCTTGATGGCAACAAAACCAAAGACGACGACGACGGCAAGGAGAACGGCAAATAATAATATGTTTATATTAACAGACAACAACTTTGCGCGTGCATCACTCTATTTTGTACATTTCTCTGCCGTCGCTGCACCACTACGACATGAAACTTCCTAATTTCACGAGCCCGCATTATGGAGTAGGAGAACACAACAAAAAGATTGTCTCAAATTTGCCAAATTAAATAAAATTGAATAAGATCGGTAAAGTTTGAAGTAGTGCGAATAGACTTTTAAGTGACTTTGTCAGTTTGTTGTCATCCAAAAGTTTTGCTACCGTGGCAACATGACGTAACGACTTCTTCTCTCCATAGGTTCGACATAGCCTTAATCAGTATTACGTTCTAACCAGGTTGATGCCTAGTAACGTTTGAGTAGAGTCGTAACCTTAAAATGACCTCAATTAGTACTTAGAATTTGTCCTGTGTCCTGCTATTTAGGGTTAAGTTTTTTTATTAGAAATACTAGTATGGGTGAGTCAGGTTTGTCATCATAGTCTAGGAATGCTTTTTCCAGGCTTCTGGTATATGAATATGTCTTGCATTCTTTCATTTCGGTCGTTAAGAAGACCCATAAGGGCTGACAGATGCATCTTTAATATGGCTGTGAAAAAGTCGAGCAAACGTTCTGGTTTTGTGATTTATTCATATTTTAAAGACAGTTCATTTACACAGGGGCACCCAACGAGAATATAGTTCAAAACCACTTAAACATAGAATTGTTAAGCGTATTTTACTATTTAAACGGTAGATATAGGCATATTTTTATCCCCTAAAAATTTTTCATCTGTTCGGATTTCCTAGCTGAAAGTCAAGTGATTTTAGGGATCAAAAAGAAAATTTTAGCCAGTTCTAGGTGACCTTTTTTAAAAACAGCAATTATACCATTTTTTAGATGTCCGAAAATCCTAGGAGAGGCAGGCAAGCAAGAAATTTTACAACAAATGTTCCGAAAGTTCTAGATCTCAAATCGTCTTCTGAACTGATATTTTTCCGAAAATTGTCGTTGGGTGCCCCTGATTTACAGCAGTTAAAAGGGATGCAAAGTTCTAACTAGGTATGGGAAACGGTTACCACTATCAATAGAGGGTATATGAAAGAGCCATGAAAGGATCAGTGGCGCTTGCCCGTTCCCAAAAGGATTAAAACCAAACGGCACCATAAAAACAAAATGACTGTAGTTATCGTTTAGCATGCGCTCAATGTTGCTGGAATGAACGCGACATGCACATCAGTTAATCGCCTGCTTATTGTAAGGATATTGTTGCCAGGCCAAAAAGAGACGAGACTGGCAAGTTTCTGCCTCGTCGATTAAAGAAAGATCGCTTTCAGTTTCTGAATGTTTCTTTGGACACAACCACTTTTTCTTAAAGAGGAACGCCTACTTGTGGTTGAAAGAGAGACAGTCTACTTTGATCAATTCTTTCAAGAAGATCACTGCTGATTGTTATGGTTCCTCATCTTCGTCTATCTCTGTACCCTTTAGCAGATGGATGGCACGATTTAAAAGCTCATGTTCTGTACAGACATAAGATTTGAGCAAATCTCTGGAAATAATCACATTTTCTAATTTGAAAAATCTGACATCTTTGACTGTATCACCATTCTTCTCCTCTTGGGACCGAAACGATTCTCCGAACTTCGTCAGCCAAATTAAAATCGCGCCCCTTTGCTTCTCAGTCATGAAATCTTCGCACGATCTTAACACTCGTAACAAAATGTCGACGCAATGCCATGACAGTTCTGGTTGCTCTGAATAAGAAATGGTGGGGATTGCATCAAGAACAGCGTTGACTGCGTTTCGAAGAACATCTTTGAGTAGGTGCTGATTTGACGCATGCTCCAGAATCAGTGAGCAAAGGAGGACCAAGCTTGGCGTTATTATATTGACACTGAACACGGATAGTTGTGATTCCAATACGATTCTGTTCCAAGGGTTACTTGCAAAGGACCTTGCACACGGATCATAACTTAGAAAGCTTTTCAGACACTTCACAGCACAATGTCTGACAGTCTCACTGTCATTCACCAAGGAATTCTGTAAATACGCATGCAAGACTTGTAGGTCTACCTCAGATAACTCGCCAACGGTCTGTTCCTCGCCTGTTACCATGGCTGATAATGAGATGGGTAGCTTTTCTGATTTTCTCCTTGCCGCCTTTAAATAGTTTTCCCAGAAAACAGTACTTGAAATACGTAAAATGTTTTTGGTTTCGTTAGCCAAGTTCATCATACATCTCTTGTCAATTTTGAAAGGGTCATGGACACCTTTGGGCGCCTTTGACTGGGAAGTCAGCGCGGAAGAGGAACTCTTCAGTAGAGAAGTAATGAGAACTATCACGGTCGCAAGGAAGTCAACATCATTCACTGACTTGCTTCGTTGCTCCACACTATGAACCAGCTTAGAGTCCAGAATGCCCTGGATGTAGCCACAGAACGTCTTGTTGGAAAGGAGCATTGCAGCAACTCTGTTAGCGTCTTTTTTCAAGTCCCAGGCTAAAGTAACATTCAGGTAGTTGAGAGCAGTTAACATGAGGCTTTGACAAGTTCTTGTCGACGTCACTAAGTTGATGACATGATACAAAATCCTATTGTCAAATGCTTGAACTTTCATCTGGACTGCAATCATGACTTTCAGCATGGCAGAAATTGAGTGTTCTTGGACCGGGTACGTTTTGTGGCCAAGAAACATCTTGTGAAATACATTTGATATTTCGTCAGCCAATAAAGTTAACCGGGGCGTGGCTGTCGCCGGTGAATCTGAATTCACGGCAAACAACGTCTCCAGGACTGCTACAGCGCGGTTGACAATGGCCTCTTCGCGACATTCCACGAGCGAAACAAATGCTCTAAAACTTTGCAAGTTTGAAATTAAAAATTCATTGAACAGTTTGTTGTTACATAAGTTATGAATTTCGTCTCTCTCCATGAAGCAGATCAACACTTGTCGTCCAAAGGCCTGCAGTAAGGAGTCAAATGATGAAATCCAGGAAACAAATAGCATATCGTGGATGTAAATGGAATCAAAAGCATCGCCATCAAACTTTACCAGATTGTGCGTCAGAATACCCTGAGAAATATTGATGTTGTCAACGGCAGCTGCTGGAAGTGATATCGACCTAAGTCGGTTGCAACTTGTGATCCACAGAAATAATAAATGTTTAAATGTCACACGAGGCAGATTGCTGAGATTTGGATGCAATGTGAGGTACTTGTGGAGACCCATCACAAGCTCTTCAGCTGGCACAATTTCGTCGTCATGAGCATAGGACAAATAAAGGAGTTCAATGCAGAAGCATTGTGTACTAAAGAGAGATTCATCAAGGATGTCGTTTGTATCCTTTCTCCCTGAACTTTGGGCAAGAACGTTCAAACACCCGGATGGAAAACGAATGCAACCGATATTGCTCGTGATCAAACGTCCCCTGAGTTGAGTCCTTTCAGTATCGCTACCGTGGGCAAGGCAAAGCTCTGTCAAAAAACCTGTTACCACATCTGACAGCTTTGTGCTCTCTTCACTTCTACTGAATTTTTCCTTGACCTCTAATGACAGACGAACTAAAGAACCAGCAGTAAGCTTTCGCGCAAAACTTTCTCTCCAAGAGCTTTCTTCAGAGACGGAAAGATAAAGGATCTCGAAAAAGTTTGTAAACACTGTTGGAGTCTCAACAGATTCATAGTGCAGCATCATGGCTGGCACACATATCTGGTCAATAGCTTTCCATAGGGACTCCACGAAATGATTGACGGCTTCGCACTCGGGTGAGAGCGAATCAGTGTTCCTTGTTAACATCACGGCATAGGAAGGCTCTCTTGCTCGAAAGTCTTTGACAAACTGGAAAGTTTTCTTGATGACCCTCAACAGAACACAGAGAAGTTCTTCAAGTGAACCTGTAGATATTAAGTATAAAATACTGTCATCATACCAAAATAACATCAACTGACAGAGAAACAATAACATCGCGAATTAATTGACCATTGAGGTCAATAACCAGAATTTAATACCATCAAATGACGCCATGCAATTCACTTTAACTCTGAAAATGCATAACTACTGTAGAGGTTGCCAAAACGTCAGCTGCTGTCAACAGCAGTCCTATACAGGACTACACTCACCTGGACGATCATATTCCACCTACTTTATATAAAATACTGTCAGTAGGCTACAGGACATAAAAGCAATGTGTTTCGGTTAGAGAAGAATTTACGCCAAAAAATATACGTACTTTGGCGCTGTCATGATTTTCTTCAATTGTCTATCTCAGGTTAGCCAGAATGTTAAGGGAATGCATACAACGATTTACTATAACTCTGCTTTCTCTGTTAACATCAGGCAAAATGAAATACTTCGACAGGAAACTGGATATACCACGAAGACGGTGGAGAAACTCTGTTCTCGTACAAAGCATAAGCAGTTCCCTTAGAAGATAACAAAGGGGTGATGTCCCCAAACTTTTCCCAATCTCACAAACACTCTAGAAGAACAAATGACCAGCGACAAAATTAGTTGGAACTTTTTCCTCAGCGACATTTCGTACGTTTTCACGACTTTTCCCTACTTCCTGAAAAGGAAACAGCAAGCCTTCCCTCCAAAACTCCCTCTAAACACTTATGTAGCACTGTTCAAGATACATATCGGAAAAAAAAAAGACAACTTTGGCTGGAGGGAAGGGTCCAGATCTTTTCGTTTTCCTCGGTTGACGAAATTATCTCAACAAGTTTGTCGCGGAAGTTTTGGTTTTGGTTCCTTGATGGTTAACGGCAACAAGGAACAAGTGTGTAATCGAAATACAGCGAAACCTGTATGACACATCTATTAAGAAGACGCCAGCCAAGGTCTCTTGGCTGTCCACCTAAAACAGGTTTCACATAAAAATGAACTTGACAGAGAAAAAAAAGAACAGTGATATGAGCATTTCCTCTGCTCTCAAACTAAAACAGCCTGGTGGTACGGTGATTGTTGCAACAAACATAATTGACCCTATTTGACAATTTTTCACATTTACTTTCCATTAAGGTGAATTATTGATAAAAATCAACGTGCCTCACCTTTTGAAGCATTTCTAAAATGCATCCTTGGTTTTGTAAATTTCTGCAAATGAGAAATCACGGTTGACACAAGATGAGTAATTGTCTCAAACTCCATTGATGGTGGGAAGTGATCAGTACTCAAAAATTGTTCGACAGCACAGGCAGCTTGAGTAAGAATCCTGTGGTCTGCAGACTTGAGACTTTCGTACAGAACATTAGCACAAAGTTTGCAGAGCTTTTCACTTGGAAACAGTTGAACACTTGAAGGTTGCACCATTAGAATCAGTGACAGAACTCGCAGGCTTTGTCTGATGATGTCAGGGTTCTTAAGTTTTATTGCCTTTGATATACCAACAATAATAGACTCAATGCCATAAACCGAATAGCCCTCGCTGTAGAAAATCTGAGTTCTCACCATGTGGTCTAGGCTGCAAAATACTGAGCCGAGAACGATGTCATTTGAAGATTCTAAATCTTCCAGTAGCATCTCACCTATGCCCGACGCCAGAAATGCTTTTGTGAAGGCGTTTTCTGCAGTATCGTTTTTAAGAATCTGAGTGACACATTGTATAGCTCCTATTTGGACCCCCTCGTTTGGTGATAGGATTAGCCTTTTTAAACTCTCCAGCATGGGGCAAGTACCCGTGCTTGAAGGTTTTAGAATGGAGTGTAATACATCGGGGTCCGCTGAAAACCTCTTTATTACTCCAAGAGCGTTCATTTGAACGTCTGTGGCTATACAGCTGGCAACAACAGCACAAGTTTGGATGCAAATCTTCTCCTTCATCTGGAAACTTAACACATTTAACGCGTCCTCGTTTGAGCAAATTTGCACTAGAGCAAAGAGAAACGCGGCTTTGATGTTATCTTCAGGAAACAGAATATTGGAAAGGAAGTATTCCACCAAATTTGGCGAATCCTTGACAATTACAAATGATAACGCTGGAATGGATTTTAACAGCCTTCCTAAAGCCAAAACGAACGGGTACGATTTCTTCAAATTGTTCAATAGTAATATCTGGGTGGTCAACTTTTCCACAATTTCTGCCACAAGATTTTCTGACCGCAGCTGTACAGTTATAACATCCAAAGCTTCGATTGCTGTACTCATCAATAATTCATTCTCACAAGACAACAAGTCCGTGATTATGCTGCATAAATGAGAAGTAACTCTTGCATTTTGGGCAAGAAGCTCCCGAAGATGTCGACTGCTCGACATCAGAAACACAACCTCTCTGAGAACCTTGCGTTTACGAAGATGAAAAACGTCGTTACTTTCCAATAGTTCCACCAGGCACGCCACACAGACTACCGAAACGTTCGCTCCTGTCATTCTCCACTGAGGATCGTGCTGTGAATGATTTGCAGTGAAGAAACTCAGTACATTTTCTGTTGTTTCCATCTTTTAGGCAACGAACTTGCAGGATTCACAGCGAAGTTAATGAGCCCACGGTCCTCAGGGACTGCAGATTTGGCTTTTTGGTCATGCGCAATACGGTCTGCTTTTGGAGGGAAACTTTCAAACTAACGGATTTTGATTAACGCTGCTAAAAAATCCCTGAAAAGACGAAAACTCTGGTCACCTTCTGCTATAACACCATGGCATCCGAGGTAATAAAATGCTTAGAAGAAGGTGAGGGACATAAACCTTTTTATCGTATCGAGATATCTAAGGGTTAGTGTCGGAGTTACAGTATGAACATTTCACTTGTTTGTTTTCCCTGCTGCTGCATGAAGCTCAGACCGATCTGGTAATTTTTTTTATAATTTTAGTACAGCTGTTAAAAGGTATTCGACACAAAATTACGTAAGATTGAAAATATTAGTAACGAAGCTTAAATTATCAATGAGACACTCGCTGGACAAGAGCTAGTACATGTACCATGCATTTGATTCATGTAGACGTAGTATTCTTTTTTAAAACACCCAGCTGTATGGTGGGATTGCTATAAATTTAATTTTTTTCGCAGAAAAATCTACGGTGTTTCAAGAAAATGTTCCTCCTGATAGCGTGAGAGAACCATCGAAAAGACTTACAAAGGTGGGTGCGGTTACTAACCTTAAACATCCATAATTTTACTGAATTTAGTGACAACACTATCTTGCAATGACTTTCATACTATGACGAGTTCATATTCCGGTTTTCTATTTTAAATCGCCTCTTTTCACTATCACCCTAGAGGTATTTCATTCACTACCTGGATTACCAGGATAAGGAAAAACAATAATAACCATAATAATAAAATTATTATAAATTACAACAACAACAATAATAATAATAATAATAATAATAATAATAATAATAATAATCATAATAATAATATAATGGTAATAGTAATAATAGTAGTTTTATTATTATTATTAACCTATTCACTACTGTTGAGAGTAAGCACGATTATGGTAATGTGAATAACTGTAGAAAATTTTCAGCCTGACAAGCTTAGATTGTACCGTAAACTGATGCTTATAAGTCCTGGGCTTAAACGTCTTTATAAGGGGTTTTAGTGGGAATTATAAAATTAATGGAGGGGCTTATATTCAAGAGGGCTGGTAACTGAAATAGAAAAAGTGCTTTAAATTAGCTGTAGCAGTTCTGATCAAAATACCTGTTGCATTTACTGGCTTGAAAACATGAGTAAATCAAATTTAGAGGAGGCTGGGGGTTTATATAAATTGGTGCTAGAGGGGTCTTTATCCAGGGGGGCTCATAATCAGATGCAATTTGTTTGTTTACAGGTTGATGGGCTAATAACTGGGGGGGGGAGGGGGGCTTATTAGTGCCAGTTTACAGTTTTATTGTGAACTGAGATCTCAGTGGAGTGTACCGGCTAAGTTGTTATGCAATTGCCACATTGATTTGTGTTGAAATATATACCAAGATTGTCATGTAATCAGCCTCTTTCATAGTACCCAACTATTCACTTAATTTGAATGTTTGACTTGACAACTTAGTTATTTGTTAATGTTTACTTTATTACTACTAACAGGTCGAGAGAGCAAGACTTGAGGCCCTATCTTCCTTTGGCAATTGTCCCTTCAATTCACTGGTTGTCAAAAAAGATAGCTTTAAGGCAAAACTTAATGCAACTGTCGCAGCTACTGGAAAGGATGTGACCAAGAGACTTACTCGGTAAGAGAACTAATTGACCCAAAAAGCAGTTAAGTTAAAGCACTCCTAGTGTTTTAAGGTCCTAAATAAGTTAGAGCGGTTAATCATCAATTTGAACAAATGCAAACAAGTGAAAACAAACCAAGTCCAAAAGGGGTGGTGGTTGCTTGTAAAAATTCTTACACAAGGGAAGTTTAAGTTATGATTAATCTCTGAGCTCTACCAGGAGCTGCCATCTTATAAAACTGCTGAGTGTGTCTTCTTTTGCAAATTCTGTTGGCTTTGCCTAAAGCAGCAAACCATTTATGGTGTACAAACAAAAGATTTAGACAGGTCAGGGAAAAGTCAGGGAAAAACGAAAATTTTTTAAGGTCAGGGAAAATCTTTGATATTGTCAAAGTCAGTGAAAAGTCAGGGAATTCTGTTTTCCGTTTTATTGCTGGTTTGCACGTCACATCATGACAGCCATGTTGGTGGTCAAGAACAAAAGCACTTCTCTTCTCTGGGAACTAAACTCTATTTTCATGTAAATTCTTTGAGGAAATATTCTTTTGTTTTGACCCCCAACATGGCCGCCTTGTCACGTGGTTGCAAACCAAGAATAGTTCATAACTTTTCTTCAAGACTTTGAAATGCATTTTCTTTTGGAAAAGATGAAAAGGATGCTGGCAAAGCAATCAATTTGACACTCTACGCCAGACACATGTAGTAGTTGTGGTCAGTGGTTTTCGTTGTGAATGCTTTATTGCAAAGTCCTTCTTCCTCTTTCCGCTTTTTTGCGGAAAGAGGTTGAAAATGAAGACAAAAATATCGATGGCCTGCCAAAAATCTATAGAGTGGCAACCCTGTGATCTGAGAAATACAAATGAAAAATACAGCATGTACTATGCCCAGGGGACAAGTAGGGGATACATGTATGTTGCACAAATTTCAGCTGGCCAGTATTGGTGGATCATCAAGTACTGTTGTAGGTCATGTCCCCAAGTGTATGTTGGTAGTCCTGTTCTGTATAAAGCTAATATTAGCAAAGTCAATGTATACAGTCTACTTTCTTGCCCTTATTTACATTGCCGTGCTCTTGCATTGGCCAATGGTGATCGCTTACTTTTACCCTTGGGTAACTAGGAAATTTTTATCTTTGTTCTCTACCTTTATGTTGGGCATCCTGAATTCATGGGATCAGACAATTTTTGTTTCTTAGAATTAACTTTTTTTCTTATAGCACAGTCTATCTCTGTCTCTAAATTTTCCGTAATTCAAAACCTTTCCCCAAATGAACTTAGGGTTCTAAAATGACAGATTCCTAAATAGCTAAAAGAATTTTCAAACTCTAGAATGGCTCCCTAAACTCCAAAAACTATAATGTATTTTTTGTCCCACTGAAAAATATTTTGCTTCTTTCATCATTTTCATCCCAGAATGCAAAAAGCCAGGTTGGATGCCAACGAAGCTTTCAAGAACATTTCCCTTGGCCAGAAACGGAAAGCCAGTGTCGTGGAGAAGAAAAGAGAGCTGTCTCCACTCAGAGGTACTGCTAAAAGAAGGCTTACCAGGTTGGACAAATGCAAACTTGAAGCACAAAATGCTTTTGGTAATATTGCTCTGAGTGAGATTGGAGGGAGTGTGGAGATAAAGGAAGACCAGAACAGAACTAAAATAATGGCCAAGGACTCAGGAACAAATAACAGTGAAACTTCCAAAAAAGATGTGACAAGTCCTAGAAAAGATTCCTTGGAAAAGAGTAAAAAAGGAAGAAGGAAGTCTACCAGGAGATCATCATCACGAAGAAGAAGTTCTGCTGCAATGCGACGAAGAAGCTCCACTAAAGGCAAACGTCTAACCAGGGTTCAAGCTGCTCAGTTAGAGGTTCTGCAGAGTTTTGGAGGACGGAGCCTGGATGATGTCTGGAAATCCTACAACGGAGAAATGTCCACTTGTGCTGAAGTAACTGAGCAAATTACCAACGATAAAGGCGAGACTAAAAATGAGGGTGTGACGACAAAGGAAGAAAGTCAGATGACGGCTAATAGTGAATGTCAAACAGCTGTAGAAACTGATGTAGAGACTGATCCCCCGGAGGATGGTGAAAAGCGAACTGGTAATGTGACTTCAGCATCAAAGGAGAAAGTTGCTGAAATTTTAGTGAAACCATGTTGTGAATCTGTTAATGAATCAATGCAAGTTGATGTCCCTTTTGACAATGAGCAGCTTGCTGAACATTCCAAGTCAAGCCAAACAATCACTTGTGAGGTTCAAGTTCAGGATCATGATTCCTGCACACTCGTCCACAATCAGTCCTGTGATGCTCAAATTGGTACAAAAGGAATGAGTCCAATTCCTGAGCACAGTTTACATCAGTCCTTTAGTCAATCGAGCAACACACAAATCGGCAGTACAACATCTGTAGAACCAAGACCACTGACACGCCTGGAGAGAGCTCGTTTGGAAGCCATACAAAGCTTCCATGGAGAAGCTTTTGAAAAAACAATGAAGACTTCATCCAGGAAAATGGCCAAGTACCTTACTCCTGTCAAGCATCAAGGAACAAACACTGAAGCCAATCCAACAAGGAACACCCCCTCACAAACGGATAACTCCTATTACAGCCGCCACCCTCGTCCAAAGAGTTCTTTCTATACTAACCTCAGAGACAGCAGCTTCTGTGACAGAGGTGCTTTGCTAGAGAGTAGCAAGATGGTCGTGCTGACAGCCAGGTCTCTTGACACACCATCTCCTGATTGTTCCCCTGTGGCCACCATTGTGAACCCATGATTTAGATTTAACCTATGGTGGTTATAGACTGCAACTCTCGGTCCCCACGCCCACTTTCACCATTGACCAATAATATTAACCTTAGTGTCCCCAGGATCACTTCATTTAAGTTTATTCTTGAATTAGATTTAGAGAGATAAGGTCTATAAATTCATTAAGTTTCAGTCGTGTTTATATTTAGTCATCAAAGTGATTCCTGTTTCGAAGCGCAGTGCAGACACCTCCATAGTACAGTCACCTCTTTATTACAGACTGTTATGTGTGTCCCAAGGATACCAAACTTCATTTAATTCCTACCCCTATGACAAAGACACCTTACCTCTAGTTTATGGACAGTTGGGTGTGTCCTTTGTAAATTAAGGAGGTTTAACTGTAATTGAGTCGGTGATTTTAGCTAAATGCTGAATCATTTTCCAGGATGAGTTTTTGGGCGTTTTCCATTCAATAAAATTCCGGTTTGAAATTTCGGAAATTTCAAGAGCCCAATGGAACGGTACCACGCGTTATATTGTTCTTGTAAGCAGGATACAAAAGAGCGGTACTGGGGAAAAAAATTTTGTCAAATTAAATGAGACATTTCAGTCCAACCGACCCAGATAACCGAACCAGTCAAAGTGGACCACCTTCAAAGCTGGTCACGAACATTCCGATCAGACCAAATCGAAATGGTCCGTTCCATTTGATCTACCAACCGAAATTTCCGAAATTTTGGGTTGAATGGAAAGCGCCCTTTGAGTACCGTATCTTCTCAGTTTTAGCCCCCCCACTGTGTTTATTTCAGGCAGCAGGCTGCATGTGGTTACCCTGGTTATTATTTTTTTGACCTTTCAGTTTATCCCAAGCAATTGTTCAAAGCGGTTTTGTCAAACACCGTTTAAAATCTCTTTCATTGTTAACTTGCCCAGAATGTTTAAATGGCCTAAGAGACAATGCATCCCCAATATATCTTTTTTTACACATGTACAGAAAAATAGCCCCACCCGCCCTATCTGCCTAGTTACCGGTCGTTTCGCTGCATCATCAAGTCGATTCGTTGCAATTGACTTTTTACACAAAACCGTTTTAAAGAAACTTAGAATGAACTACAAACGGGTAATACTAAGGAGTTAATTACCATTTTGCTGAATGAACTAAGATTACCGTTACTTACTGTTTATGTTTAAAAGTAAACAGAGTGGATTGCGCGAAAATATCAGCAACAGAAACTCAAGGTATGAAGAGGCTTGACTTTTATCATAAAAGGCAATTTACTTTAGTATGCAGTGAATCGACGTCATTATGCAGCTGAAACGACTGTACACCCCTAGTAAACAAGCCCTATGAAATAAGATGAAATGTGCAAGGGTGTTGGGGTAGCTTAAGGGTAGTTCCAGTCTGTTTCCAATCGCCCTTTTTGGCGCAGCTACTCAGCTACTGGTAATCAAATAGTATTCGTTCTTCGGTTTCCCGTTTCAAGGGGACATGATAATAGATTTACAATCACGTTCGGGGCAAACTTAAGACTGAAGTTGACAATTTCGAAACGAGTGGATAAAATTTGCTGGAAGTAACTTTTCTTTATGAAGCAGAACCTTATTTTGTGCAGACATATGAAAAGCAAAGGAGAAGTAAAGGGGAAACTTAGTGACTGTTTGTTTGTAAAAGTGATTCTTAATCTTTCTAATACCGTAAAAACCCACCTATAAGAACCTAGATTTTCCAACTTAGCCTAAACAGGTTCTTTTAGCAATGGTATTTAGTGGGATTTTAGGCTATTTAGGTTTTTAAAGTTCTTATCTATCAGATAGGGGCACCAGCGATCAGCACAGATAACTACTACAGGGCATATGTGATATGGAATATATTGCTGTATTAAATAATTATCTAGAATACAGTTTAGATGATAACCATGCAGTAAATTTATCTTTCCAAAGTACTAGCATGCATGTCTTTCATGCTGCAGTATCCATAAAATGCTGTGTTACATTTTGAATCTTACTAACTGAAACCTAGACTTAATTTTTTTTCTGTATTTTTTTCTCTGCGATCATTTTTGTAAAATAAGAACCTATTGACAATTTAAGGCTAAATAGGTTCTTATGGTTTAAAATAAAAAGTTTAGCCTAACAGGTTCTCAAATTTTAGGTTCTTATATGTGGGTTTTTACTGTATAGCTCCATTCCATGTTGTTCCTGGTCGACAATTCCTGTTTCATGTCCAAGAACCAACGTATTCCAGGCTTTCCTCGCTCCAGGTGGTAGTTTTTAAAGGTTTTTGTTGAAATAATTAATCAGTTTTCCCATTCAATCCAGTTTCCTGCACGTCAATGCAAATTAGTACCCGAGGCTCCACCCATATTTACCGTCCAAGCTGGAATCGTGTAAGGTTGCCGCCTTCGAGTTGGAAACATTCTGATTGGCCAGCTGGGCCTTAACCTACTGCGCGGAAAACCGATTTTGGATTTTAATTGTGCTACTTGTTCTTTCTCTTCAAGTAAGGTTAATGCCAGTTAGGAGTTGGCTGCGTTTTGATTCAGAAAGTATCCAGCAAAAATCAGTTCTTGATCCATATCGGGGCAAGGAAGGTAAGATAAAACTGTTCAGTTACAATAACTTACAAAAATTTTATTACTGATTGTACTCACGATTTACCTTGTTTCGTTTAGCATTACGTAGTGTGGATCAAAAAAGAAAAGAAAAAATAAATTACAAATGTTGATCTTTAACGCACGCTTTGAAGTACTGACTAACTTTCAATATTTAGTTAAACCTGAATTTTTTTACACATTTATTCTATTTCACAAAGAAAATTTGTTCATTTCGCCAACAGCAAAGTGATACTCAGCCCTCGTCAACACCGTATACAATAATATAAATAATAATATACAAGCTTATATAGCGCTGTTTCTAGAAATTCAACAGCGCTTTACAATATTTACAATTAAAATATCAAAATAATAAAAACTGAAAAAAATCTGCTCGACGTGGGAACTTTTGATCAGAAAAATATTATTAGTATTCGAACCTTGTGCAGTACGAGAAGGCCGACTTCAAAAGTGAGTGAATATATACGACCTGGCAAGCGTTCTGATTATTTTTAGGTTCATTTTCTCTTCTTTGTACGAATATTCCAACTCTGATGACGTTCTTTTTCCATGACCGAAAAATGATCAATCTAACCAATCGCCGAATTATATATGTCCCTCTAAATGAAAACGAAGTCAAACTACTAGGTTGTTTAGAGAACCTGAATGCCGAGTACGCCACAGTACAAACGGTTGAATGTGTCGTTGTGGTGTATTGGGTATTCGCTTGTTTTGCTCACCATTATCTTGGAAATGTTTCTTTTCTGTTTGCCATGCAATAGATAACTTTAACATTTGACTATAAAAACAGTGCACAGTTCTGCCTGCATAAGTAGTATTGTAAACTGAAATATCAGTATGATTATTCTTACTAAGATAACGGCTAAAAAAATTAATGAGACGCTATTTTCGCTAAAAATTTGGTTGCCTCCACACAGATACTACTACAAATACAGTATGGTAAAAAACAAATAGAAATGGCGCCGTGAGTGTTTAAGAACATATCACAAGAACTCAACCCATTTTACTGTGCTGTGTACAAACTCTGACAAGTAACGAACTATGCTTCGCCGCATGCCTACACTGACTCTAGTCACTGAACCAACATTATTAGCCTATTCAGTTGGCTTACTACCCAACCACCGTTCCCGTTCATTGCTGCTGTTAAACTGGTTAAATTTGTGACATGACTTGAAAGGGTGCCAAAACCTCCTTCCAAGGCTATATGTTTTAGGAAGGCCGCATAAAACGAAGTGAGAACGTTCTTAGCGTGTGGCAGTTAACTTCTGTGTAAATTTGACGATCGACGATAGTGAATATCTTTCGCAATATCTTTGACCGAAAAGGCAGCCCGGGGAGGCAGTCAAGGGAAGTTCGAATAAGGATACCCTGTTTAAGACAAGAGACATATTAATGACCCTGATTTATTCCAACTGAAGAATGAAATTTTTTATAAAACTACGATCAAGAATACGGAATAAGAGTCTTTGGAAAACAATGTTAGTGACATAAATGTTGACTTCTCATCGGCAATCGTCACACTCTTTTAAGGCTCAAGTCGATTATAAGAGGTTGACAAGGGGTACTTAAGATTACGGTCAAAAATCTCGTGATTAAACCTTCATTCAACGATTTTCTTTGACGTTCAGTGGGAGAAAAACGAACTACTGGGTGTCCCAAAAGTTCGTTCCTCTAATTTCATGCATTATAACTTTTTGACCAAAACTTTTTTTTTTACATGAAATTTCTAGAAGATGTTTATTTCTCTATCGAGTTCATCTATTCAGAATTCCAGTAACTGGCACGCCCTTTTAGTTTTTTATCACATTCTGTAGCCGTTGCATCATGGAGTGGAATAAAGCGGACAGAGCCACAGATGATCCATTAATATTTTGAACTTTTCTATCACCCGGTACGCAGGAGCCAGTTCAACCCCTAAAGAATATTTGTTAGTTTAGGCAGCTGAAAAAAGAAACATTTTAGGCATTCATCCAAAAAAGATAATCATCCCGGCCCCTTTCCACAACAAGGCTTTTGTACTTCTTTACAAATTTGAGACAAGGTGGGTGTTACTTGGCAGACTAAGCAGATCGGCTGTTTTTTTGCCATCTCAGGGGCTAATTTTAAACATTCGCTTTTCATGCATGATCCTTTCTGGACTTGGCTTGCTAATTACGTGAGAGCTTCCTCGTCGAGTCTCCTATTTTGTATCTAGCCTTCTTTAACACTATTTCAGCTGCTTTATTCAGGACTTTTCGTCTTCCCCTTCGTTTCTTGCCTTCAACAGTTTCATTTTTCCATAATCATTTTACCACCAACATTCGGATTTTTCCAGATTTTTAGCAGTTTTTACAACAGATAAGCCAGTAAATAGAAGTGTACATGCTCACACGTAGATGAACGTTTCTTTGCGTTAAGGGGGTTATCCTTCGTGATATTCACAAAAAAATAAGTAAGGAGTTTCAGCAATTCGTGCTATAAAATACAAAATTATGTGGCTGGAAAACATACTCGCGCACGCGCACCTTTGGCGCGGAAGTACACAAATCGAATATTCGAGTCAAAGGATGACACAACAAGTATGAAATTAGTGAATTAGATTGAAAGACAACTTTTGGTTAAATTATTTGCTTACCAAGTCCAATCGTACTGAAATACAGACTTATAAAGTACAGGAACGAACTTTTGGGACAGCCCGTATATTGTTAGAACACAGGTGGCCCAAACTCTGTGGGAGTTCGTTGGACGTTGAATTTATAAAAAAATGTATAAAAATAAACAAAATACGTCCTAAATCCCATTTTTTGACAAAAATGGAAATACAAATGACTCGCCTTGTGTTTTTGTTTTGTTTTTTACTCTCTCTTCGCCTCCAGAGCAGTACAATTCAAAATCTTATATTAAACGTCGATAAAACGGCTTCCAAATGGCACTTGAGGCCAAGAGACAACAAAAACAAAACAAAAACACATTTTTATTTCTGTTTTTGTCCAAAAATGGAATTTAGGACGTATTTTGTTTATTTTCAAACATTCTCTTATAAATTCAAATCCAACAAACTCTAACAGAGTTTGGGCTGCCTGTGGTTAGCGAAATCAGTCGAAGGCCAAAACAGAGTAGAGCTTAGACTCAAGCCCTCAAATAGCCTGTACACAGACGCTGTATTATCTTATTATCTTTCTTTTCGTTCTTTTTCTTTTCACCCGCGCTCGACGGACTTTGAAGAGAAAATAGAGGGTCTGTACATGTGAACAGGCTAAGCCTCAAAACGCTGAAGTTTTTAAACAGGATGACACCAACGGGATTTCTGATTTCCTTCTTAAATGGTAAGCATCGAAAAGTCAATCATGGCATCTTTTATTTACTCACTGATCTTTTCCATATCAGACATGAAGGGATTTTTGATTGCAAGGGCTCCTCAGGAGGAGAGATTGTTGGAGCACGTGGTCACCGGCTTCTACGCCTGCATATTTGTGACGTCCCTTGTTACAAACGCGTTCCTGTTTACAGTGTTCCTTAGAAACAAACATTTCCGCGACCTCAGCACTTATCTCATCGTTCAGATGGCTGCAGCTGATGTCCTGTACTTGTGTGTCACCTGCTCTATAGTTGCTATAAAGAATCTGGACATCGAGCTGAATCGCATCACCTGCAAAGTTCTGTTGTACGTGGAGGGAGCTGCCAGGTTTGCCTCTTCGCTGTCTTTAATGCTGATCAGCTTGGAACGTTCAACGGCTGTATGTTCACCATCGCTGTGCTATACCATAAGAAAAGTTGCTAGAGTCAAGGAAAAGGTAGGCGGGAACGACGAAAAACGTAATGAATGTTCTTCATTTATGGGTCATTTGTAAAATTGATAGCGGCAGGATGGTGCATGAGGGCTAAATAGAAATATCAATACGCCGAGTTCCAAAAAGGATTAACTTAATCTTCCAGGAATCTTAATTGTAAACAGTAACTTTAACTTTAACCTAAATTTGTTTTCAGATATTGATCATATTAACCTGTCATCGTTCGCTTCATTTCAAAAGAAAGTTCAATTTAGTATCATCTTTTTTAGGCTTGTGCAAGCGTTTCAATTATCTCTCTGATCCTTCGAATGGGTGTGCTCTTTGTGGCGTGTGACCCCGAGAAGTGGGCACCAGGGTACAGATTGGCTGTGACAATTGCCACTTACATTCTACCCCTTGTGGTAGAACTTATCGCTTACACCATTGCGTACCACAAGATAAACCGACGAATCAGTAACGCAGTCCACAGCAAACAGGTTCTGTTGTTTGTCAAGAAGTCCCTCAAGGTTTTTGTCGTTATTGCTGTGGTATTCGCCGTGTGCACTCTTCCTTCGTCCATCTTGGTAATTCTACAGTCACTTCGTCTGTACACGCCTTCATTCTTCGTGGGCTATCTTGGAGACTTGATAGAGTGCATTCCTTGCGTTACAAATGTCATCTGCTACGTGTTCTGTAGCCCAAAGTTTCGAATGGAGATCAAGAAGTTGTTTTCAGGTTTGTTGTCAGTCCAGTTTCTTCTCTTGCTATCCAGTTAATCATTAATTTAACCAATGTAAACTTGACAAAGCTGAAGGGCTCGAATAATAGTAATAATAATAATAATAATTCCTTTATTTACCCACGACAGTATTTGTAACACTTATGCTAGTGGGCGGAGCAAATGACTTGAAACAAATAATTCAAATCAAACATAAAGGGGTTCAGCGCTCTAACCACTCGGCCACGTTGCCTCCTCTGAATAGAGAATGCGAGACTGTTATAGGCCGCATTCTTATTACCATGAACTGAAACCACTACGTAAGATTCTAAACCTACCAATGTGAACCAAACGTAAAATTAAAGGGCGGAACCAGAACAGAAAGGGGCTGAATAATAGAAAATGTCACAGAAAACGGCGGAGGGAAGTCCATTCGGACCCACCCCTAAATCTGCCCATGAAACTTAGTGATGTCATTCTTATGATATGTGGAATAATCGGGAGAGAAACTTAGTACTAATTCTGGCCAAAAGAGTTTAATGTACGGGCTCTGTCCCTGCTCCTGCTAGTTTTTCAAAATCCTCTTTTTTGTGCATCAAAAGCCTGTGGTCCACACTAACGTTAACGTATCGTTTAAAAACGCATATCTGGTGATACGTTTTCGTTTTCAGGCAAATCTCGGACGTCAGCTATGTCTTCAAATTTCTCGCATTTTGGCTGAGACATGCACGAGTGGTTCTGATCACAGGTAACCCAGCCTTTGGGTTAGTACCACAGTATGAAACCCGTAAAATTACATTGTTTGTAAAGTTACCATCCTAAAATTTGTAGAAAATACCGAATAAAACCAAATGAAACTTCCTCTGAGAGTAGTTGTTGCTGTCCTTGATGCTCTCATGAAGTTTCACATGCGATCACAAAACTTTGTGTGGACATTAGTACTATCACAAAGTCTGGGTTTCCTGTACTCTGACGTCAGCGTTTTTGAATACCCTCGTTTTACTTTATTGAAATTCACTTCGTTGACTCAACACGATGACAGGGGATGAAACAGGACTTACGTCCCAATTGATATCAACCCCTTTATTACCCACCAAGCCCATGAAAGGTTGTACTACACCACTGGTGTGGTACAACCTTTTACGAACAGCAGAGTGGATTCTTTTACGTCCCACACGAAAGAGCTGTGAGATGCTGTTTTAGTGAACTGTATGTGTTTTAAAACAAAAAAACGCAGTGGTGTAGACTGGTTCTTATAATCTAAAGCTTTTAAAACATTTTTTAACCATCAGTATGCGGGGCACAGACCAAAGAAAGTGGTTCAAACGTAAACTCGGCCGACGGAGGAGAGGACGAAGATGGTCTCCCAGGAGAGGGCAAAGACAAGCGTGCCAATAAAGGGCTCATTTTAAAGCTTGATTGGGTGCTCGGTGATGATCCTTCACAAGTTCCCATTCCAGGATCCCCCACGCCGGGGGCAGATATACCCCTTGACATACCCAGTACTGTGCAGGAAGGGCCCGAATTTTCCCTCGGAGATAACCTCGAGAGCAAGCAAGCACCTTCTACTAGAAAGATCTCTGGAAAACCTAGAACAGGAACTTGGCCGCGCATGCGTAGGCTGTTATACAGTGGTTGGTATGATTCAGGGTTCAATACTTCCCGTGAATCTTTCATCTCTGGGTCGACTTCAAATGGTCTCAACAGCGGCACTTCCAAGTCTAGTACTGAAACACTTGAAAGCAATTTGCCACGGAGTTTGCCGCAAACTTTGACACAGGGTACCCAAACTGAGTGCAGTATGTTGACGGTACTTGATGTCACAGTGCAAGAAGGTGCGTGGTTAAAGAATAAGAATACATAATAGAATTAAGTCAGTACCTTCCAGATTATTCTCAACTATTTGTTAAGGTAAATTGGCCGCAGCACATAAATCCATTCTTACGGCGAAGGCCTAGTTTTTTACTACTCCTCCAAGATAACACTTTACTTTCTACAGAAAAAAATCCCTTTAATTATTTGTATACTGGGAAAAGCTTGCATCGTGAAATGGCAATGTGAACGCTGAATTTCAATACCTTGATGGGAATCCTCCCCTTTGAAGAAAGAATCCGCATTGCTGTCTGTTACCGACCCTACCAACCAAGGCCCCAAGCTATCCTCAGTCAATATACAAGTAAAGTTTTGTAAACCCCCTTATGATACCATATCGTACTTTGTTTTTGCAGAATCATCCCAGTTGTAAGGTGGAGAAATTTCAGTAAAGGAGTTCTGGACATAACTATTATTAAAGAATCCGTCAGAAAAAACGTATATAAGAAATTGGTGCTTGTTGTCAGCGAATGAAAAATATGCAAATAGATGCGTCTCAGGCAAAAAGTTGTTATCCTTTTAAGTAGCGTCTGTTTTTACATATTAGGGAGCTTAAGCAAAGGCGTTTTTGAGCGACGAAGAATGTCAACTCGGAGTAAGGCCTTTTATATCGATCTTTTAATATGCCTTGACGCTATCAGTTTATACGTATCGCTAGGTGTGTCTACTCTTAAGAGACGATTTGCCCGAAATTTTCGTGGAAAACAACTGCCCAAGAATGTAAAAAGCGCAATTGCGGTTGTGGTTTTCGCTAAAAGAAGTCTTTCTTAAGCTCCTTATTAAATGAGTTATGAACTGGCGGGAAAACAACGCGAGAATTTGCACTCAGTATTGGCCATTTAATACACTAGAAACATCTTTCTTTTAAGCTGGAAGGACAATGCGTGATTTTTAACGGAGACCTCAAACCGTTTATAATTTTCTTCAGATTTGCCAAGCCAAAACTAGAAAACGCAAGAGCATGATTGTATGCATCAAAGTTTTCCCTGTTGTCTCTTTTCCGAGTCAGAATGAACAGGGGAGAGAGTCAATGAAGTCATGACCACTATACTATAGATATGGTAAACGAGCTTTTTCTGTTGATGCTTCGGAACTTTGGAATAACTTACCTGAGGATATTAAATCTGCAAACTCAATTGATGATTTTAAACGCAAACTTAAAACATTTCTTTTTATGCGAGCTTCTGAATCGTGATGTTTTTATTTGTTATCTGATTTTTTATCTATTGTGTACATTTATCTATTTTGTAGTTAGCGTCTAGTTTTAATGTCAATTTCTTGTGATTATTTTTACTTTTTAGTTCTATCTAATTTTTGTAAACAGCGCCTTTGAATCTTGTAGAAAAGGCGCTATATAAATGGATTATTATTATTATTATTATTATTATTATTATAGCGAGTACAACCGGAGATCCAAAGAGTAGTTGTATTCGCTTATAGAAATATGTGAATTTTATCACAACTTTGTTCTTTGAACACAATATACAACCTGAACGAAAGAATGTTCATATCTTTGATTGTGGCGGTTGTTAGCGTCCTGTCAAGGCCGGTCTTTGAGCCTGAACGCTCTAGCTTCTTGGAAAAAAGACTTTTAAATAATTAGATTAGAAGACTCAATATTGCTAGAGCTCAAACTGTACTGAAAAATATCTCTTTTCAGTTTTTTCCCTGATGCCCCTTCTAAGACCAAATGGCATGTGCAACTTTCGTTTCCTTCTTTACAAGGTGCCCCATGAATTAAATTTTGGGGCCTTGTGTTTTGGTGGCCTGTTTCAGGCTCTGAATTAGTCGGGACGAGCAGAGAGAAAACCGAGGGAGAGAAAAAATGGGCGAGGACTGGGGAGAGACAGGTCCGGAGAGCCTTTCGCTCTCTCCTCAGTAAACTGATGTGTAAAAAAGACTTCAAGGTTTTAGTTTAATACATTTTGGTATCTATTGTATCATGTGGTTCGTTGTTTGGCAGAACAATAAATAATTTGCCCATTTTAGGTGAAATCTCTGTACCCTCTCTACGAGCCGCGCATTTCCTCGCCCCTGTTGCCTGTCTGGTGCCTCAAGCGCATGTCCATGCACGTCCTCCTGCTACCTAGTCTGCTTCCACAGGAAAAATAAAGATTCAGGACCCTCCTCTACGTGCCCTTTTTGGATATTTTAGTTGCCTGTTTGGTGCATCAAAAATTCAAATTTCCATGCAATAAGACAAGTCCCAACCAGGCAACTTGGTTGGAATTCCCTGGTTGGGACTTGTCTCACTTTGCCAAATTTGGGATTTTTGTGGGATTTCTTTAAATATCCTAAAATATCCAATATTGGGAATGAGTTATTTTTTCCTGTGTACACAGCCGTTTTTAGTGTCGTCACGCAACGCTCCTCCCGGGAGGAGCGTTGCGTGGTTTTTTAGCAAAATAAAGACATTTATTATTATTATTATTATTATTATTATTTGTCATTATTATTATTATTATTATTATTATTATTATTATTATTATTATTATTATTATTATTATTATTATTATTATTATTATTATTATTATTATTATTTTATCTAACTAGGGACTGCAGTTTTTTGTCCAACAATGTGTCGTTACATGTCTTACATTTCATCTGCAGTTATTCTTTTTTTTAACCTACAGTCGTCAAAAGGTCAAAGATGAGCCTTTAAATAGACAAAAGCCTATTTCGTTCCCCTCCCTCTCCCTCCCTCCCCTCCACTACCTCCCACCGCCCCGGCTGCTCTTTGAATCCGGTGAAGACATTATAATTCATACTAAATGAACTGCGTTTTTGTCAAGACCTATACTTCTGACTCATCGAGGGCTCAATCAAGTCAAAATTTCAAGATGGCGGACGACAAGGCGTAAATCTCTCGCAAATATAGAACTTCAAGATACTGAACTGTGCAGGTATTTTGGTGTTTTGAACTTTCACATTAGCTTTACTGAAGAAAGAGGTCATAAAAGTGTTTGTACGAGTGATATCTACAGTTGGTTCGGACTTTCCTCTCGAGGTCTTTAATGGCAATCGTAAGAACGGGAAGCCGAGGTTAAACTAGTAGCATGTGATTTCTTTATAGAAAGCAACTCGAAGTGGCCGCCTTAAGACTTGCTATATCATTGCAAAGTACATTCAGTTTATTAAAAACCATGAAGAACGTGAAGGAAAACGTTTCGTTCACGTGTATGCACTTTCGGAGTAAGCTTACGTCTGTAAAAGCAGTGAGTACTTTACTATGAACAAAAGAAATTGAACTTTGATGCAATAATCAGAGGTCTTGAGCAGAGGATGTTTACTAAGTAATTACTGAGAGAATCAACAGCTGAGAGAAAACTGCGATGAATAAAACTCGTAAAAGGAGTACTAGAGATTTGGATGTAGCGACAAGTGACTACATTCATCTACAAGGGGCCGGATTATCAGCAAACAACGACATAAGTTTGGACCACACTGGTGTCAAACAAGAGAAGATTAGGGACGGTTATAATGAAAACTCAAGTACTGGATCAAGTGATTGCAGCTATGACCAAGCTACTGGTATTATAAGCATTACAGAAGCTGAATGTGAAGAAGAGGTTGATGTTGGATCAAACGACTATTTGAATGACCAAGTGTCTGTTACTGGTAGTTTGCAACAAAAGATTACTGAGTCTAATAGTGGAAGGGTTATTTATATGGAAGTGAATGGAGATGGTGATTGTATAGAAAACATAAGTGCTGGGTCTGTTGACTCCATAAGTGATCAAAATGCTGGGGTAACTTCTACCAAAGGTGGAGAATTGAATCAAAAAAGTACTGAGATCAGTGACTTGAAGTTACCAGCAATTCAACCCAAAATATTTAGTCATGAACATGGTAGGGATTCCATTAGTTTAGAAAAGGAACCTGTTTCCATGGATGTCCACTCAATGGATGGCAAACAACTTGGTGGTGAAGAAGATGGGGATGATGAAGATGTTGATCATCATAATCGCTTTTATTTTGAATCAGATCATTTGGCATTGAAAGACAATAAACAGTAAGTGTAATTTTCAAGATAAAAACATGTTATGCAGTACCTATGAGACGGTTTTCTGCATTTGCTTAACATGTTTACCAGAAAAGACCAATAACAGCACTCTTTTCACTTAATAGTACAGTAGCAGTATCATGCAAATTCCCACAGTATATTCCTGCTCAGTAAATTGACACCAGTGGCCTAATGGAGACCAGCATTACATGATCGAAAGGTCATTATCTGTAACAAAGTGACTAAATTGTAAGACAAGCAATCACATAACATGATGAATTATATAAATCATTGCAATCATCATGTTATGTGATTGCTTGTCTTACAATTTAGTCAAAGTGTTTTGTCAATTATCCTGGTATGGTAAATTAATGAAATATTGGTAATCAGTGTAAATCAATAGAAGTAAATTAATGATTTACATGTATACTGGATTTGATGATTAATCACTGATAAAAAATTTTGTGACTTTTATCATGATTGATTTTTATCTGTAAATGATAAATCATCATGTTAAAAAGTCACAATGTTAAACAAATTATGATGTTTTCCTTTTGGATCAGTTATTCTTATTATTACAACAGCAACGTAGCAACTCTCAAAAGAGATGTATATATGCAGTGCCAGTTATTGAGGAATAGAAATGAAGGTGATTGAAAAATTCTTCTTGGACTACCGATTTACCTACACCAGTCGATTGATGTGGCGGATTGATTGATTACTGATTATTGATTTTCATTTATTGACCACTCCAGGTTATCAGACAGGTTTCCATAGCAACAGAATAAAATGCCCTTAATCTTGCTTTCAAGTGATGGTGACTCGACAGCTTGCACAACTCCATTTCTGCTATCACATTTCAAAAAGTATTAAACAGGAACAAATTTAGAGCAACATTAATTTTTGACAATATTTTTTGTAGTTATCATCTGCTTTTACAGTCCTTGTTGGTTCTAGAATCACAAAGGAGTCAAGCTGTCAAGGTAATTTTAAATTTCTATCATAAAAAAGTATGAAAGCTGCATTACAATAATATTATTATTCAATATCTTTGATGCTCGAAACCCTCTATTGAACCCCTGCTAGGGCTTATTTATTTAGAGGGGGACTTTTTCAATTTAGCAAAAGAACCAGAGTCCATTATTCTCCATAACAAATTAGAATGTGAAGTGGCATGCAAAAGCTCAAGCAAATGAGGTTGGAGGTCATGCAGCCATAGATATAAAACAATCTCCACGTGTATCTGGTGAATAAACTATACTGAATAAGTTTACATGAAGTGTTACAGTCTTGATTAGTTTATACAGTTATACAGTGTATCATGCATTAATTTTATTGTGAAGAGTAAGGGGGGGGCTTAAAAGAGAGGGAGGCACAATAACGTTCTTCTTCTTACAAGGGGGGAGGCTTATTAGACAGGGAGGGGGCTTAATAGAGGATTTATTGTATTTAAAGATATTTATCAATTTTACATTATATCGTGAACTCTTTCACTCCTAGGCCATGTTATGGTGTGATTATTTCTCATTCAAATTTTTGATCTGTGGATGAAATCCTATAGTCTTATCATTAAAAATCCCCTAAATTAAAGTGACTCTTTTATAGCACCATTTATTTTTTAAGATTTGCAAAATGAAATTTGATATACTTTTTTGTGAATGTTTTTTGTCCACTGGCAGGAGTAATAGGGATGATGCTTATATATGACCTCTTGTGAGCACAGCCACCTTTTCAAAAGACCAGAATTCTTGCAGTTAAAGAACCACGGTTTGAACCTCTTGTGAAGGCACTGATCCTTATAACTGACCACAAACATCTCTTTTGTGTTACAACCACTTGTCACATAGGCTGATTGCCTATCAAAGGATTACAAATAAATAATTATTAGATAATGCAGTGGAGATGTGGCAGAGTCAACTCTTGCATGTGTTTGTTGTAGGTGAAATTAGTTCTCATTTTTAACCAGAATTTTCTTTGTCTACCTTAAAATAGTAAGGGCTTGAAATCATAGGAAATTCTGAATCAATCTACAATCACAGACAAAAGTAGGTGGGAGGTTGTACAACTTAACAGTAGTCCATTTTAATCCTCAAAAAAGAGAGTTTTCTCTTTCGCTAAATATCCCCTGTTCCCCCTATTCAATGTTGGGATGTAACAGAACATTTACACGCGCAAACATGAATGTTTTGCTCAACACTGGGCCAGGGGCGGGGGGAGGAAGGAAAAAAAGAGGTAAAAAAAGCAACCTTTCCGACAATTTTGACGATGATTGTACGTTAAATACTGGTTTAATCTGAGAATGGATTTTACCTACAATCATCCATGACCACTTCCTGCAAGCAACCACCAAATCTTGTTATTTTGGGTGCTCCCTTTTTTTTCAAGAAGTTGGGTTGTGTTTACCTTCTGAAGGAACTAAGAATTGACTTGCCGTGTTTCTTTTCTTTCTATTTTTTAAAGGACCTTGATGTTCTTTACAAACAACAAGCCAAAGCTCTTCAAGATCCCATCAGCTTTGTGGAGAAGCTACAAAATAATGTAAATTGTTCAATAATCTTACAAAACATTGATTTACTTACTGGAAGAAAGTCACGTACTGTGGTTGTCAGTAGTCAGCACAACTAAATGCTGCAATGTTTGTTAATGTGGGTTGTCTACCTTAATTGAATGTCTTGATGTATTGTCAAGAATGTCTTGTTTCTACTTGGCTACTTCAACCTGAAAACACCATCAGAAATGACATTACAACATGCATCATAAGCTAACAGGGGAAGGCCTTTTGCCATTACATGTGCCTCATACTCCTTGCTCACCTCATGCTTGCCTTCGCTTGCCTGAAAAACATGAAAAAATAATGCCAGTTCTGCAGGCTCACCTTTTGCATCTACAGAAGTTGACTGTGACACACAGTGTGACTTTCATGGTTATTTTTCACACCTCATAGGGATGGTACTAATGCTTTATTATACCTGCCAACTCACACGTGTTATAGGTTTGTCACATGCCTGTAAATTGAAAACTTCAGCCTCAGTAAAGCTACAGGACGATTCACTTGCATAACAGACAATTCCAAAAAAAAAAACAACAACCAAGTAGGTTATCTCACCAAGATATTTGCAATCTCAGCTATAAAAGCTTTGCAAGATCTCATGATACCTCGGCAAGATGGTGCCTTAAAAATCATCAGAATGTCTGAGGAAATCTCTGTTACGTTGAAAGTTACCGTAATGTCTTCATTAAGTTACCGTAATGTCTTCAGAACATTTCTAAAGTTGAAAATCACATGCATCTGACTTAGCAAAAGTTGGGAGGTATATTTATGTTAGCTCACGAATTATTGATAGAATTATTGATTCTTTATCTATTTCCTTTTGTTCCATTTAGGAGCCTTTGGATCTTCCAACACATCACAATGTAGTTAAGCTCCCATTCATTCCCTGGGAGGAGTACTCCATATCCCTTAGCACACTTGATAAGCAGAGATTAAGCAACCCACACCACACTAGAGCTGCCACCTCACAGAATCCAGGAAAAGGTATGACTTTTTTATGAAGGCGAGCTTAATAACGGAACCTCCTAAAGTAATTCTTGATACTAGCCATATCTTTACTAACCTTCATATGGGTTTGCTTTGCTAGCCCTGGATACACTCAGGGTAAAAGAGGTTTACTTTATCACTTTCTCTTGTAAAGCAGTATTAAGATTGGAAAAAAATTATAGTAACTTAGTAAATATAGAACAAAGGCCTCCATTCCAGTGTTGTCTGTTCATATCACTCAGTCAGGTAACTAGAAGTTAGAAATATATTGATTTAAATTTGTAAATATATTAATGCCATTATAGTTTTTACTGTAGGTTTTTATTTTTTGTTTTACAGCTAGTGATTCTGCAACAAATTCTACTGATGGAAATGAAAGTGCATCAATGTCTTCAGAAAGTAATTTGTATAGTGTGTTTGGAGGGGAATTTGTAGCAAGCAAGCATGGAAAGCCATTAGGGCGAGAAAGGTGTGGGTACTTTTTGAGATGTTTCTACTTTGTAATAACATTTTTTATTTTTTTTATTTTATTAGCTTTGCCGTCCGTAACAGTACACTAATAATAACTTAAATATTTGGGCAGGGACACCACAACAGCTTAAGCCAATTACTGCGAACCCAAAAAATTAAAAGATATAAAAGTAGCAAATTATTTAAATCACATGCAGCAGCTAATTTCTTGGTCTAAAAACCTGGCTGTGTTACATTTCAAGCAAATACTTTTGAAGCTCCTGGGAGAGTCCGGGTCATAGTTTATTGCTAGAGCCCGCGAGTAATAACCGTAAAGAACAGATTTAAAGTTCTCAAAAGTAACATTATCTAGGTCAAGTCTAGTAATAAGCAGGTTCCAGATTCTAGTGGTTCTAATGAAAAAAGATTTCTGAAAGGTAGAAGTGCTGCATGTTTTAGGCACAAAAGATTGAGAGCTTGTTGCGGATATATGGGTTCTTCACGCGCATTCGCGCATGAATGGAACAAGAGACGGATCTTAGTGAATCATATTATGCGTAGCCTTGTAAAAGTATACTAGATCTAGTAACTCGTGCCAGTAGCACACAGGAAGTAGGTTTACAGACATTAGTCTTTCTTTGTAAGAGATATTTGTTAAAAAAGGCAAGCAAAGACAGTATCAGCATCTATGACGCCACGTGATGACCAGATAGGATCCAGGCAGAATTTGTTGTTGGGTAATAGCCTGGGACCAAGAAAATCACATCTAGTAAAAAATTTTGCTGATATTTTACTGAAATTTGTGGTATCGGCTTTTATTGATATAATAAATATGCCAGCGAACTTTCAGAAAAACCTTTGGAGCAGAAGTCTGTAACTAAAAGTCGCTCAAAATTCAGCTGTCAAATTGTTTTGGAATTGTAAAAATAAATTACTATCAGGTAGAAGGAGCAAACGGTTCAAATTTTTGGGACAAGTAAATTCAATGTTTGCTAATTTTGAAAACAAAAACCGATTACCTATCATGCTATAGCCTCCCCTCAGACGTCCCTTGGGGTTCGTTCGTCACGCATTCAATTTCATTTCTCCCCCACAGAGAAATGACGTCTGATATCAGGCATCTGAAATGAGACGTCTGATATCAGACATCTGAAATGAGACGTCTGATATCAGACATCTGAAATGAGACGTCTGATATCAGACATCTGAAATGAGACGTCTGATATCAGACAAATAACATCAGACGTCTGATAACAGTTATATTACAGCAGACGTCTGATGTCAAACGTCTGACATCAGACGTCTGCTGTCATATAACTGTTATCAGACGTCTGATGTCTGATTTTATATGTTATGTTATATAACTGTCATCAGATTTCTGATATGACATCAGACGTATAATTAACAATTATTCCACGAGGGCGCGTTGGATATGAGATGATAGATAGCCAACGAGGCGCATAGCGCCGAGTTGGCTATAATCATATGCTGATACTGTCTTTGCTTGCCTTTTTTAACAAATATCTCTTACAAAGAAAGACTAATGTCTGTAAACCTACTTCCTGTGTGCTACTGGCACGAGTTACTAGATCTAGTATACTTTTACAAGGCTACGCATAATATGATTCACTTACATCCGTCTGTTGTTCCCTTCGTGCGCGAATGCGCGTGAAGGACCCATATATCCGTAACGAACTCTCAATCTTTTGTGCCTAAAACATGCAGGACTTGTACTGATAACAGTTATATGACAGCAGACTTCTAATGTCAGACGTCTGCTGTCATAAACACTGGGTTTTTGAGGAAAAAAATGTATTGAAACGGGTTCCTCGAAAATCGTCCTTTCCTGAACCCTGATAAAACTAAGCTTATTGTTTATGGAAGACGGCAAAGGTTACAAAATCTCCCGGATATCCGTCTCTCCCTTTTAGGAAAAGAACTAATAGCGGCGCGCTTCGTTAGGCGTGACTTTTGACTCGAGCCTTACTTTTCACGAGCTCATCGTTAAAACAGTTTCTTCCTGCTTCTCAAGTTTAGTTCAAATCAATCGTGTTAAGCACATGTTTGACAGATCGACTTTAACCACAATACCGTATTTATTCGAATAAGCGCCCAACCTCGAATAAGCGCTCATCCAAAGGCAGAAAAAGTTAATAAGCGCCCAGCCTCGAATAAGTGCCCACTCTCAAGGTCCAAAAATTTAATAAGCGCCCAGGGCGGTTAATCGAATAAATACGGTAATTAAGACGGAATCTATTACGAATTTGAGTAATATTATTTTTCAGTGTAAAAAAACCTAAGTTACGATGGGGTGTTCTTGAGTTAAGCTCTCGTTGTATTAACAGCATTCACCTTATACTCGCCACTGAAGAATCGACATTAGGCTGAATGAATTGACCTGTTACTCTTGTGTATCCTGGGTATGTACCGTCAGACATGACAACATGATAAAACACCTGGTCACTGCTAAGTAATGTAAATGCTTTTCTTTGTTGTCATTTCCTTTAGTTTAACCAGTGTTTTTACCACAAGAAGTAGTGATGCAACAAATGGCAAAGTGGTACGTGGCCGTTTCTGCGACGACCAGAAACCAGGTACATTTAATCAACCATGGACAACCGAAGAACAGGTATGCGTAGATTCTGGAGTACTCCTGGATGGGTGGAGGGGTTAGGCGTGCTCCCTAAAACCCTGATCCTATTTTAGACCAAATTATATGATTTTTCCTACCCTATTTGAAACCTAAACTGCTGTTCTGAAAGCAAAAAATGATACATGAAGAACTACCTAATTCCAGACCTTGGTCAAAGCACAAAACCTTAATTCAGAACAAAATGGTGAAAATCAAGAGTATTTCACACAAAAAGGGGCCTTTTGGTGTCACACATAGCTATTTTGCTTATCTAAGGGAGTCCCTCTAACTTTAGCCTCCCACGCAGATGTTCTTAGGGGTTCGTCACGACGCGTTCCTGGGGCAGGAACGCGTGATGGACCCCTAAAACTGACGTGTGCTTGGGGGGCTACTCTAACTTGTGCATAGTTGGAAAAGAAAGAAATGAAGCCGGATGGCAATCATGGGACGAAGTGAGGACCACAGCAGGTAACCGAGAAAAGCCTGGGGAAAGACTCTGTGAAGGGAGGCCTTACATGTATGTGTCATGAGGCATAAGGAGAATAGGTGAAGGTGAAGGGAGTCCCTCCCCGGCTTTCATATTTATGTGGCCTGGATTTGTTTATGTGGTTCTGACCTGCAGTACAGGCGTTTGCTTTGGGCGCGCGAATGTTTTTGCTCGCGAAAGCGCCATGTTGAAACTCCCAGAGAGAGGAGAAAATGAGGCGAGTCTACCCAATCTCCCTGTGTTAAAAATCAAAGATGGCGGCTACAATAGTACGAGCTTAAACAAGCTTTCGCCCGACCAAAATAGGCCTGCACTGCAGGTTAATTTGGTTCCTCCATATGAATTGAGACTGGGGTGCCGTGGTGGGTTGGGCTTGCATAATGAGTCAGATCGGTCTCGAATTATTCACAGGAAAAAATTTATTTTAGGGTATTTAAAGAATACCCACAAAAATCCCAAATTTGGAAGAGTGAGACAAGTCCCAATCTGGGAACTTAGTTGGGAATTCCCTGGTTGGGACTTGTCTCACTTTGCCAAATTTGCGATTTTTATCGGTATTCTTTAAATACCCTAAAATATCCAAAAATGGGAATCCGTTATTTTTTCCTGTGATTTTAAGGCTGGCTTCATGTAAACAGAAGAAGGTATTGTTACGTAGTGGAGAACAATCTGAACCATCTGAAATCGTAATGTAGCCAGCCTAGTTTTTGCGGCTCTTTGTGCTACAGTTTTTGTTTCACCTCCAGGCTAAATTGGAGAAGTTGCTGCAGATTTATCCTCAAGAAGAAGTAGAGTCTAAGAGATGGGAAAAAATTGCGGCAGCATTGGGAAACAGAACATTAAAACAGGTCCTTTTTTTGTTATATTCTAAGGGGTTTGTCAGACTAACCGTTAGAATTAAAAGCAGGAAAGCAGGGTCTCTACTCCACCTCTCCTCAATTCAACTCCCGTAGTCAACAGCAGTTTTCTATCACTTGATTCCATCTGAATGTTGGTATTGGACAATAACATAGAAATTTAATGATTTGATGGTCGCACATCCACAAAGTGAGTTGTCGTCTACCATATCCCTTATTTAGCTGAAATTTGGAGATGTTGGTGTTTGTAGAGGCAAGATAGAGCTGCAGATAACAATCGGTCATCGGGTGGTGTCTGACTAAAGTTAACCTATGTTCGACCAAGGTCTCTATGGTGGGAAGTGATGTCTGGATACCCAAGACTATCGTTTTTGCACTTTATGAAATCTACCATGATCCAGTGAATTTATGGACGAGTGATAAGTCCAGCTGCGAATTCCGAGCATACCATGCACGATGCGTCCATGATTGACTCCACTTACATTTTTGCTCAGTAAAAAGTGCTCTTATCGCAAAAACTCTTTATTTGACACCCAATGTTCATGATGGAGTTGTGATTGCCATGTTAAGACAACAACATTTTGCAAAGGTGAAGACAGCATGATAGAACCACTTCCATACGACCTGCTCTTTATTACAACCCACCTTTTTCTGGCCCGGACAACGCAGTTATTTCCGTACTTTACAACCACCGTAACACGTCCACCCCATTATTTAGACGAACGATTACTTTTTGTTGCTCCCAATCGTCATATTTCCTTGGTTAATATGACCAGTCGAATTATCTTGGTGAGATTTGTCGGCAAGTGAAAAAAGACGAAGAGAGACGTTTTTTTTAAAACTGAAAGTCGTTCAAAGTGTGTAATTGAACGCCCGATAGATATATTTTTTAAGATGTATAGTCAGACTGAATACATCTTGTCATCACTACGTAGTTAGGCTTATAGTTTCCTTATAGTTTCACACTATGACGCATCCTAGTTTATACGACCAAATTTTCATGGCCCAAAAGTGGTCGTATTGGTGGAAAATTAATATCTGGCTACGTTCAGTTTTAAAATTTTAGGTTCGACCGCCTAATGATTGATGTTCCCTTTTTATTTAGGTTGCCAGTAGAGTGCAGAAATACTTCATCAAATTAGCCAAATCTGGATTGCCTGTTCCGGGACGAATGCCCAACCTTCCACGGCCTGGAGTTAGGGTTAGTTTAGTGGGGTGGTGGTCGGTCAAGTCGCCCGAAAGTCGTCTCGCCCGAAATTTAAAGTAAAGTCGCCCGAAATGTTGAGTTATGTCGCCCTAAATTTGATCATGCTCAACAACATCCTAACATTCTATTACACAGTTATCGCGCTTGTTTCGTCTCATCATTACCCATTTGTTTTCGCGTTTCACTTCATTGTGGTTTAAAGTGTGAGATCTATTACACACATTACTTTGTTCTACTTTATTTCTCATTGTGTTGCACCTGTTTTAATTTCAGGCGACCTAACTATAATTTTCCGGCGATGTAACTCTTGTTTCGGGCGACATAACTTCGGGCGAGATGACTTTCGGGCGACTTGACCGGTTACCGGCAGAGCGCACTCTCCACTACATCTACTTCTCTCCACTACACCGACAGCTGACCCAGCTTTGGTTATTGGTTACTGCGAAAGTTGCGCATGATACGGAATCAAAATTCGTTCCCCAATCTGACAGTCCCATAGTCTGTTAGTAGGGAGTTAAAGATACCACGAGAGCGACGGCCAGGAAAACTTCGCTTAAAAAGTTATTTTGCGTTCTTTAAATCTCTATCGTGATTATTCCAACTCGCTTGCTTGGTCAAATGTAAGCGAACTCTCCTGGAACCGAATTCCTAACAAGCATATCCAAATTCAGAGAAAATTTCGTCTTCGCTTGTTTACGTCGTCCATAAGACGTGAAATTAGGCAATTTCACGTCGTAGTCGTGCAACGATGCTGGGTAAAGAAATCAGTACAAAAAAGCGTGACACGTGCAAAAGTTGTTGTTTTGCCTTGTCAAGCTATAGCTTTTTTGACGTTCTCGTTGACGTCGCCCTCGTGGTATCTTAAACTGCTTAGTGCAATAAAAACAACTACCCAGTCTTACACACAACTTCAACATCGCCAAATTCGCCACTTAAGAAACGTGAGGGAGACTGGACCGAGTTATCTTTCACAAAGACTTCTGGACTAGGGACAGGGAAAGTAATTGGCCAATAGCTGACCAGCGCGTTCTCAGTAACTATCCCAGAAACAATTGCGGGTCGCATTTCGGCTCCAGTTCCCTTCCCGTTTTTTACATGGAGGTGGGGGACCCCAGGTAGGTGAGGTAACCCGCGGCGGGTCACCCCACCTATCATGTAAACGTGATCAAATTAATATAAGAGCTTATATGGCCTGGCGGGTTACCCCACCTAAGCGGGTTACCTCACCTACGTGGGGTACCCCGCCTCTAGGTAAACAGGTCCTAAACCTGTTGCTTTTTTGCCGTTCTTGTTGACGTCGCCGTCGTCGTTGCTTAAGCTCCCTATTCACGCAAATGGAACGGAAATTTCTGTTCCAACCGGAAGGTCTTCCTTTTGTTGCGGAAAATTTCCGGTCGAACCGGAAATTTTGCCTAAATGGAAAGTGCCCCTGGTTTTCTTATAATGTTCCAACTTTTGCAGAGCAAACGGGCATCTCATCACTATCAAGCTCTTGGTTTTCGTAATTCCACGTTCTTTCCGTCGTATCGACCGAAAGTTTTGATGGACGACGAAGATGACGCATCAAGCGTAGCTACAGATGACACGGGCGGATATTTGTCGGTAAGGTGACTGCTTTTTCAATAAAAATATTTTTAAAATGGTAGCTTCATCGCTACTTTCACAGTGTAGCTTACTGCTGGTCTAGCCTGAATTTCATCCGATTACTTCGAGTCGTTATTACTCCAGAGGAGAAAACGACTCGAAACAATCGGATGAATTTCAGGCTAACTGCTGGTCATTATTAAGCGATGAATTTGAGTGAATGCGATACGCTGTTTATAAATGCGCTTGTTTGTGTATCAAAGTATCACGTTGTTTGTGTTTGGTTTCAATGTCATTGGTTTCACTGTCAGGGATGGCACTAGGATTTTTCAATCTGGGCCCTCGGACCCACATGTCCGGTCAAATTGGGGTCCCAAGCATTTTTATGAGAAAGAGTGACTGGCAAATTACTGTCATACTGTTAACTAGTCTTCATTGTCTTTTTTTTGTTGTTTGAAAACATCAACTTTAGACAATACAATGCGTTACAGCGATCTCTGCTGTGACTTTATGTGATTGAAAGTAATTCTGTGAAGAATCCTAAAAGGAGTCACAGAGCTTATAATGATTGGACTTCCTCTTTTAGGGCCGGCCTGTTTACACGGAGATGAGGGATAGGTAACCCGCCTGTCCATAGCCCGACCTCCATGTAAACAGGCCCTTAAAGTTAATAGCTGATAGGGAAATTCAAGTAAGTCAATCAATGGTAGAGCTTCAATTAACATTAAAACTTGGGCATCGTATCTTAAAGGACGAGGAATCAGTGCCAGCACATCTACGAGATACCGACGATTACAAAGAGCTGATGGAACTCAAGAGAATCAAGAGGCAAAAAATTGTTGAATATCAGGTATCATGCTGTCTTAAGCATAGAGAATTTCATCGGTTTTTCTGTGATGAGTCCGAAGCGCATCTAAAGCCTTACCTTTGATTACAATGCTGCTTTAACGTCCTAAGTTGTTTATGAAGAAATATTGATCTGGTGGGGGAGGGGTCATTTCTTTAAGGGGGAGCTCTGTTATCAACGTTGCCCGAAGATTTTTTTCCACAAAGTGTAGCGAGAAAGTCTTTAGGAATTCTTGAATATTTGAAAGCACAAGATATTTTTTTCCGAGTACTGATGCTCGTGGTTTCACCAACATGACAGTCACTGAATCCTTGTGTAAGAAGTTACAACTGACTTAGTGACTTTGTTTTCTTGACGCAAAACAAACTCCTAATTTTTAGAGGCCTTGCGTCACTACAAAGTTCTTTTCTGTAAGAAAAATTAGTAGGCTCACAACTGAAAGGATTAGCTGTTGTAGACTTCAACTTTGATCTACTTGGGAAGCATGAAGAGTTTCTGTTTATTTATTTATTTATTTATTTATTTACAGCAAACGGAGGAAAGAGTCCTGCATAACGGATTTATGGTAAGCCAGGCAAAGCCAGTTATTCTGTTTTTCAATCAAATTGGACGCAGGAGATCGGCAAATACCCAACGCCCAGGCCCCAGTTGTTCAAACGGTAGATAATGCTATCCCGTGCATAAAGCTCTATCGTCTGAATACTGATTACCCCGATGGATAGCAAAGTTGATAACCACGTGATGCGAATTTACTTATGTGTTCACTTTTTGTTGGCGAGTGTGAATGATATATTACATAACAATGAATATTTTCGACTTCGCAGTGCGATGGCTGTGGAGTAAGTCCCATACCAGGCACAAGATGGCACTGTAATGACTGTTCGAAAGATAATAGTGTTGATTTCTGCAACGAGTGTGTCGAAAGGTTGGTATAAACTTGAACTGTCAGGCTTGAAAACTGACCCCCGAGTCATGTATCCTGCGGGGCAGGCGTTGGTAACGGAAGGGGAAAGGGGGGAAATAGAGGGGGGACGAAACGTGTTCTCAAGGGAATTCTCCCCTGTCATTAAACAACTGCCACACAGGCTACGAATCATGGTGCAGACTGGCCTGCATAATAGGCGCTCTAGGAGCCAAGAGAGGCGAACGCACTCGTTTCGCGCAAAATGCCGCGTTTGCCTCGCTTGACTCATAAAGCACGTGTTATGCAGGCCAGGTGCAGTCCCATTATCTTCTTTAAGTTCCCGTTGATATGGATACCCCGGGGAGTACTCCTGGGAATTCTTGATGGGGGTGTGCCGCCCGGATCTCCAAATCTTGACCCTATTTCAGACCAAAAATATCACTTTCCACACCCGTTTTCAGACCTGGCATCCCAAATCCATACCAATTTTAAGACCTGGAATAGGCCGAAATTATGTCATCATTACTTGGATTAGAACGCCAACAAGAAGATTTCTTGAAATCCATTTCGAATTCGCATAGTTCTCTTTCTTTCTTACTCATTTGGAATTGAAATAATAAATTCGTTTTTAAACTCGTCCCGTAGTTCCCTTGAAAACCATAGTCGATTCCAGACCAAAATGGGCAAAATCTGTAGCCGTTTTCAGACCGAAAGGGCGCAAAAAACCCTACCCTTTATGGGGCTGCACATACCTATATGACTTACGTAAGGGAGTACCCTCCCCCCCCCCCCCACCTCCCCCTGTATGGAGCAAACTTGTGCCGGGTAGAGGGGTCTCTCGCCAAATCGAACTACCCTGGGTGGGCCAACATTTCCTCACAAAACTTGGCGAACCGTTTACGTGAGAAACAAAAAGGTTGGCTCGGCTATTAGGGTCACCCACCTAGCCAAGCCATCTTTTCTCCATATAAACACGTTGGCTCACACAGCCGGGTCAACTCGGTCAAGGTGAGTCAATCAGAGCATGCGCGAACGCTATCGGCCAGGGACAAAAGATTCAACGTTTTTCCCATATAAAAGATCTCTAAAGTTGACTCGACCGGAAGGGTACCCGTTCTTTTCCGGGACTACTTTTCTCCATATAAACAGGACCTTAGACTCTTAACAAAGCGTTTTGAAGGTTTGGTTTAGTCTCTAGGAGGCTTCCTCAAATTTACGCTTCATGAGGTGGGTGTGCTTAATTCAGAAAGGAGATTTATATCCTATGTCCTGAAAAATGTTTGTATAACACTACGATAACAGTACAACATTTGAACAAAAGCGACCAGCAACCGGTCAGTTACGCACATTTTGTTTCAGCTCTTTTTGTTTTTGAGGTTTTTGTATGGCTGAACAGAAAATGGCAAGTTTAAAGGGTAAATTCGGATTTTCCAAAGAAGGCATTAAGAAGAGAATGTTTTGAGAGGGATTCATTTGATATATTATTGTTTGAGGGTGAATTGATTACTGGGTTATGGTAACCGAGCCAAAAGTTTTTTAGTGTAATTCAACATTTGTTCAACAGGCCCCAATTCAATTTAAAAGGTGGTCAAAGGTGGATAACGCTATTTGCTGAATAAATCTCTGTTCAGTGGATAACATAATTGGTTTCCCTAAAACTTATCTGCCTGGTTACCGTGATTTATCCAGTTGATAGCTCTATCCATTGTTTGAACAACGACAGCCAGATGGATCGTGATAATAGATATTTTACTTTCGAAAACTGCATATTAAATTTACTTGTACAAATTATGGTGAATGTTGATCCTGTTTATATTGAACATTCTTCCATTGCTGACAGAATTACACCAAAAGAATTATTCTTGGCTCAGAAAACGTTTACCTTGCCGACGGTTAGCAGATATTTACTTGATATTTAGTTCCCGAATACTTTCTAAATGTGGCTTCCAAAGGGTAATATTGTTGGTCGTGAAATATCTTCTGCAGCATTCAATTTTGTTTCCCTTCCTTTCTTCAGGGGCAACGTTAATATTGGTTCTCATTCGAGCGAACATAGCCTGGAGCCAGCAAAAGGAAACTCTTCCTTCTTTGTGGATGGAGATTATGTCGGATTTAGTGAAGGAGCCACGAGTGCAGGCTATAACTATTTAGATCCTAATTTCTTGCCCTCCGCGAGATAGCACCTGCAGAAAGCAGATGAACACCACCAGATGAAAGATCATACGACGCAAAACGAGGCTGCGCAACGAAAACGCTTTTGGTCTCGTTTTGAAGTAAAGGCTTGGCAGTTGCAGTAAAATAAATACCTCTAACCAAGAGAGTTCTCTTGCTCTTACTAAGAGTACTTGACTCGCGCACTGTAAGAGAATTTATTTAATTACATATAAAAAAATGGTATCTGTCGTGTCTTGAATTCTTCAAGTGGACGAGCTGATACGGTAGTTACGTTCTTATTTAATGCTTGCACTAAAAGTACACACGATCTCCTCATCGCTGGAGGATGAACATTTGACTATTATCTACTTGAATGGTAATGTGAATAAAAAGAATCGTCGACTGAGTTATGTTGTGCTCATTTTAGGTTAACCAAACATAATGACTGCTGTGATTTCTATTGGACTCTACGTAAGTGCTGTCATAGCCAACTGTGTTCGTCACGGATGAATGCCTGGCAGCTTTCTGTGTGTGTTTTTTGCCCTAAGAAACCATAGCCTGATTCTCAGACGTTCCAGGTCGGTCGCGGCCATGCGTTCTCTCGAAGGGAGATAGTACTAGGGAGCTTTAGCAACGACGACGGCGACGGCAAAGAGGACGTCAAAAAAGTAATAGGTTTATATTGGCAAAACAACAACTTTGCTCGTGCATCACGCTTTTTGCACATTTCTTTACCGTCCTTGCACGACTACGACGTGAAAATGCCTAATTGCAAGTTTTATGGAGGAAGTAAACAAGCGACGACGAATCTCTTTTTCTCTCTCTAAACTTGAGTGCTGTCCTCAAGAAATCAACTCCAGGGAAATTAGCCTACACTTGCCATTTTCAGCAAATTGGAATAAACGCGACAAAGATTGAAAAAACGGGAATTCATTTTAAAACTGACGTTTTCGCTGCCGTTGCCGTCGTCGATGCTAAAGCTCCCTAGTGCGTGACCTAGAACGTCCGAGAATCCGGCTAAAGAAGCCGCTGAAGTGTTAACATGGGACGTGCGTGGTTGATTTTTTATGTGGAATTCTTTGAGAACGATGACCGGAAACGGGCATTTCAATATCTGTTAAAAAAGCTGCTTCCACGCATAACATATCATGGCAGACTCTGGGACGTTCACACCCTTTTCTCCCGTATTTTTATTCGGTTAACTTGTAACTGAGCCGAGGGTCAAAGCGAGCGCGATCACTTGCCTGACTCCTCCTGTCATTTTCTTTCCTCTCCCCCTGCCTCTTAATATTGTCTCTAGATAGTACATGATTCACTTTATATCTTACATCTTTCCGTAAAGTACTTTTTTTAAACAACCACTGAAAAAGAAAAAGAAACAAAGCTGTAACCCCAACACATTTTATCCAGCGCTTTCAGTCTTGTTGCCAGTGATTGTGAGGGACTTTCGAGGGAGCTTCGTTAAGGTCGGGGGAGACAGCAGCTATTTAACAAGAATAATTTGCTCCTGACAATATTTCACCCTGCGCCATCTGGTAAGCTGGAAGGTGTTTGGATTGTGGAGCCTGGGCATGAGTTGGGCCTTACTATTGTGCAGCATGTCTCAGCTCTGTAATGTCAAGTTCTTTTCATATCGTAGAAGCAATTTGGGGTTCTATATGAGATAAATTTGATTGAAATTTAAAAGGAAATGGGCAAGAAATGGAATTCTAAATTTGGGACAAGCATTCCTGGATTCTCAGCGAACATCAGTTTCCTTTTTTAAAAAATACAGTCATTGTTAAAACTGATTTTCATGTCATGATAAGGTTTAGGTCGAAAACATAAATGATAAATAATAGATTATGTTCTTCATCTGTAGATCTACTTTTTCTGTCCCTCCTTCTTTCAAAGTTGGAAAACAAAATTCCAAACAAAGACTATTAACAACCATTTCAATAACATTTCTTTTAGCAGATGCCGAAAAGCAAGTATTTCTCCATAGTGAAAAACTCGGAAATAAACTCCGCCGACTTTGCGGGGTGACTGATTACTTGTAGAATCAGAACATTTTGTACTGTAGATCAAGCCAAGTTTTAAAAATATTTGCTGTAAAATTCGCATTATTTATTGATTATTATTTTTTGTAGAACGAAAAACAAAATAATTTCATGACGGACGAGAGGCAAAATACTGTGACAGTAACAGTCATTGAGATAAACAAAGACGACTTGGGTGTTTTACACATCTTTTCTTCTTAATTATTTATTATCGGTAGGTTTGTATGACACTGACTTTCTCGAGAAAAACTACAACTTAGTTCCTTTAGTATTTGGCAAACTAAGTAGTCAAATCGGAATCACATTCTTCCAGGGCTTGCATATGTGAGCAGCTTGAGTTGGTTTTTTTTTAGAGTTTTTCTATTTTGCAGCTGGATTTTAATTAACCCTGACTCCTCAATGGTAGCCTGTACCACTAACTGTTTCATGGCGTCTGTGTTGGTTATCCCGCATAAAGAAAAGAATAGAAAAGCATCTGTTGTTGTTCACATTCACTCTCGACATACGGTGCATCGAAGATCATTTCGTTTTTGTTTATAAATTTAAATCACCAAGATGTTTTCTCCTTATGCCTTTTATTTTCCTTGGTTTCTTTATTTTCTTCTTACTAAAGACTGTTCATTCATTCGGCTTCGTTTTAGCCCTTGCCAACAACGTTTTCCCCAGATTTCAAAAAAGACAAATGAAAAAAAAAAATTCTGTTCATTTTCTTGACATGCAGTCTTCTTGTGATTTATGAAACTAGCATCAAGTGCTTTTGCAACAGTTTTAATGCAAAATTTTGTATGCAAGTCAATATTAGAAGCATTGTTTACTAGTTTCCTTGACCGGAAAGTTTTTTAATGAAAATAGAGTATTTTACTTTGTGTTAGGCTGTGCATTCTGTTCACGTCTGGTCATTAAAAGTAGGTTGTTTCAGTACTGCAGTACATAAACTATCAAAAAAAACTTTAAAATGTTCCTTTTTTTAACAGCAAAATTACCAAATACATCATTGAAGTGAGCCACTCATGTAAATTTCTCAGGACCTAAAATTTCGCAGATAGAAAATACTTTAATCCCAAGGACCTAACATTTGTCTTGAGGTTTTTTTAAACAATCCATCTTCTTTCATTCGAGACTGAGTCCGCCATTGTTAACAGTTCCCAGAATTCTTTGAACTCATCTGGCAATAACATCTGAATTGACTAAATCTCATTACAATTAACCATCGTATTTGAATGCTGATTTATAACTATATCAGTCGGCGAAGAATACACCTGTTCTGTGCTGCGTAAGTTAAATATGCATAAAATCTCCTTTGCTTCTTCATTATGCGGCAACGCCTTGCTCGGACAGGATGAAAAACGCAAACATGATGGTGGCATTCATTTTGACAGTTCTGATTTTTCTTGGAAATCAGGCTTTTGCAGTTGACGTTCTGATTAATAACCAATCCAGGTAAAAAGGTTGAATTGTATTTAATCACGGCTATCTCTAACTAAAACATTATTTTGTAGTGTTTTCTTCGCAAATGTCAACCTAAAGGCACAACGACGCCCATTAGATACTTCGGACTATAAAAACCTCTTTTGCACTGAATTCCAATTCAGTTTGAAATGTTCACTCAAATAATGAGAATTCGGAAATATCTGAGCTAGAAATTGAACCCGGAGCTTGTTTTCTTAAGATTTGGTACTTTACACAGAAGTTTTCACCCGCTTGATTATGTCTTAAACGACGGACCTCTTTCGCTCAATGCTCAAACTACTTCGCTTCCAAAAACTTTTTCCTCGGGGAAAATAAGGTAGAGGGATCGAAGAAAGACTTTAAAATGGACAGAATATCATGCGGAATCAGTCTTGGAGAGGTTTTAAAGCGCTTAGGAATTAACCAAATCTGTATTGTAAATATTTGCCGCCAATAAATCAACTGTTTGACAATTCATCAGTTGTAGCGGCCATAAAACACTGAACGGTCTTTAAGCTTTATAAAGGCGATGATTTAGCATTGGACCTCAATATCTCAGGAGAGATTGTAAGGATTTACGGCGAGTTGACAACAAAGAACTAACAGCATTGATCTTAGTTCATATTGACCGGCGGGCCATAACTTTTACCACTTTAATTAAACTTGTCGAAATATATAGCAAGCACCCTGCGGCTCGGCACTAGCATAACGACGTTGGTTCATAACTTTTCTTAGAAATTGGTTTGGTTTCGTTTTGCAAACACCCTGCTTTGAGTTTTCTGTTAGAAAGAAGGCTTAGCGATGTTTTCGGTTAAATTTGAAAAATTGAAGTTTTGTGTGCTTCCCTGAAAAAAGTTTTGCTAAACCTCCACGGGGCATCCGTGACTTATATTTTAAATGGTAGCTTGTTTTTCGAAAGAAAATCTGGCAGATTTTTCGATGCTGCTTGTATACAATGACACCTATTGCTTCTCCTACCTTTGTTTTTCTTTCTTTTCAAAACAATTTGTTCAATTAATGGAATAAAACTATAGCAGACTTGTAGTTTTTCCAAAACGAATTCCGAAAGCATTCATTGAGGAGATGCGATTTCATATTAGGTTAAGTTTTAAAGTTACATTTCACATTCTCTCCTCAACGATAAAGGTAAAATAAGAAAAACATATATATTATTTCAGTTATACTTGGGTATGCATATAATTATAATTGTTTTTCAAAGTGTCTCTCCTAATACTTGACATCCTCCAAAAAATTTAAAAACAACGGATTGCGCTCGCTGTAACAAATTAAAACATCCAACATAAATGTTTCAAATCCATATATTTCTTCCGTGAAATAATGTCAGACTTGAGTTTGACAGCCAAAGTAATATGGATGGGTTTCGTCCAATTAAGAGATTTGATCTTGTTTTATTTTTCTCCCCTGACGCTATTTCTATTTTTTTCTTCCTAAAAGCTAGTGATCCTTCCAAGTGCTAATTTTTTCCGATAACTTTTGACTGTGCTTCGTGGTTTGTCTTGTTTCCGCCATATTATCATGTATTGCCACAGAATTTTATTCATCCCTATCTGAAAAAATTAGCACCGATCAATTTTAGAATCCTAAGTATAGATCACACCTTTTTAGTCTGATTGAATTAATCTAAAAAATAACGCTTGTATTAAGGTTCATTGGAAAAACAAAGTACGCGCGCTGATCAAAACATGTGGAATTTCCGTTCCAAGTTGAATTGATTCGCAAATTAATTATATCAGGTCGGGAAACTGAAAGAAAACCCCCTATTTTATCCGTTCTCGTGATATTATCAGAATCCTTTCTTGTATCGGAAATATTTGCACCATTCACAAACACATAGTATATATTATTAATATTTACACAGTTTCAAAATATTTGCAATTTCACTGACTGCAAATTCTCAAGAAAGTTAAAAAAATAAATAACAACGAACATCACGATTTTTGCCAGTAATAACGGAAAATTTAACTAAAAACTGGCAGTATCCTAAAAACTTTCCTGTCGTGTATTGGTTGATCGAATCCACTTAAGTGTAAATTTTTTTCCATTACCGCAAACCAATTAGACGCAACAACGTAAATTTCATTCTGATAATGAAATGTACGGCATATACGCTGTCTCAGTGGCGCATTGTGTTAGAGGAGGCTGCGAATATAAGCCTTTCAAAGGCTCTATTTCCTTTATTTTGCATTAATGCTACTGAGCTTTATTTTAACAATGGTAATAACGAGATAGAGGTACAAACAGATCGGCAGCTGATTGATAAATTTCGCGGATCGTTTTTTACTCGAAAATAAAAGCTTCGAGGCCTAGTCATTCGAACACCGTTTTAGTACGTATATTGAACGTCACAATATATATGTATATATTTCTTTGGCGGATAGCTCTGTAAATCAGCTGTAATAGATCGGATAAATCTAAGCATAGCGCGGGAAGAATTTTGATCTGTCGGTCTGTAACCATTGGGTATTGATTTCAGCAGTCAGGTTAGAATTTGCTATTACTTCAGCCAATCAACTGATACAAGCGCAAACAATGCTTTAAACCGCCTGATTAATCAGAAGACAAAAGAAGAAGACAATACGTGTACATGTAGCCCGCGTCAAGCTCGGAAAGAGTATTGATAAAATCTTATGTGAATAATGCCAAAAAGCCTGCTTTCCACATGACCTGTAAGGGTCTGCGCCGGTCTTGAGAAGCGAGCGCGACCGGTCCGTATCACGTCGCAACCTCCACGTTCGTCCCCAGGATCTGTGGTAGTCCCATATGGAGGTGGTTTGCGGCCCACAGACTGAGTAATCAGAGGAGTTGAATCTGTTTCTACTTTCTTGCCGACCTTTGCGACTCAGGGGAAAAATCGCGACAGTACCATCCCCGGTTTTGAAACTTATAATAATAACAATTTAAGTAGCGATGATAATGATAATAATAAAACATACCCAATTCTAAATCTTAGTTACCTAATTTTAGACCAGAAAAGTAAAAAACCATATCTTTTGGGGCCCTTCATACCCACAAGGGTAAGGTGCGAGAGTTAATTCCCGGGAATTGCATAAATTGCTCTGCTGTTGGAGAAGGAACATTTCTTCAATACGGATACGATTGGCATTGATTTTGCCTCTTACTGCCTAAAGGGCACGGCTAAGAAAATGGCGCTAACTTTTATTGCTCAATCATAAAGTGTGCTAATGCCACACTGTCAGTGCCCGGCAGATGTGAGCCTACTTTCGACGCTCAATTGATAACCAGTCTGTGTTCTTTTAAATCTGAAGCACAACAGAAAAACCGGTGACACCAACATCTCGACAGCTGTCAACACCAACTGAACCGGGGAATGGACCAACTATAAACGTTACTAAGTTGATCGCTAATTTACTCGTGGGCTATGATAAAAGGCTTCGTCCCAACTTTGGAGGTAAGTAGGAAGAATGTAGTGCTTTTGGGTCTTTTTGAGTCTGTGAGTTACTCAGAAAGGAAAGATCTGAAATGGAAAAGTAAAATTATCTAAAAAATGTCGGGTTGTTATAACGCTCTTTCTCTAATTCGGAAACTTAAGAGGTTTTCTCTCTGCATTCAAGGTTAGGAAACAACTAGCCGAAAGTCTCGTACTTTCTAACTATATTATAACGACACACCACCTTCCTAATTATGTATCGGTCAAATCGAAGCTTCAACATGCCCCCCCCCGGGCATACCCCGGGCATTTGACACCTTTGCCGTCCCAGGGAGGAGGGAATTTGATTATCTGAGTCTTCCAGGGGGTGGGGAATTTGATCCCCATGCTTTAGCGGTGGGGAATTTGAACTGCGCCCTCGATTTCATGTAAAATCTTTGGCGTGGCGAGCTATCATTGGGGACGCGGTGTTAGAGGATTTTGGTGGAAAAGATTGTGCCTTTGTGGCCAATTGGTTACAAGGAAAGAGCTTAAACAAGCTTTGTGCCGTTTTTGAAGTATTTAAATTTTAAATTTTTTAATATTGGATTCAGGCTTTGAATGTATGAATGTATGTTGTTGTTGTGTTTACAATGAAATACAATACCTATACCAGCGATTCAATGCAACAACATAACTGTAAAATAAAATAAAATAAAATAAAAAGCTCATGTCATCTACTTTGACCTACTGCAAGTATGTTAATTTATACAGTGAGCGATGATGCATGTCAGTGAAATGGTCAGGATGTAGTAATCTCAATAGGTGGGATCTTTTTTATAGAACGCTCTGTATGTTGCATGATGAAGATAAGCTGAGCATTCAGTGACCTTGTAGCGGCGATTTCCGCCGCTTTGCACGAGTTTTTTTGTTCGTAGTAAATACGCTAACAGTGACTCTCAGTTTTTGTTATATTTTTAAAGATTTTTTGTTATATTTTTCTAAAGATTTTTGTTCCGTCTCGCGCCATCAACGTCAATTGCGTTTCGTTTTGCTCGACGGACTACAGAAAAAAAAAGAGACTGCTCGTAGTCTACAACTTAAGGCATTTCCGCCGTCCTTCTGTCATTTTTGTGCCTGTGAAATGTCCCCGGGGTGGGGGCATTTGATCACCTGAATGGACCCTGGTGTGGGGCATTTGAACGGCATTTTGGCCCGGGTAGGGGGGAATTTGAACAATAATTTTCAAAAAAGTCAAATGCCCGGGTGGCTGCCCGGGGTGGGGGGGGGGGGCATGTTGAAGCTTCGATTTGACCGATAAATTACCTCATTCGTCGCTTAGAGCGTGTCCAAATCGCAGCCGCCAGTTTTGTTCTTAATCGTTATGCGACCATGTACCTGGGCTGGCTACCCGTAACTTATAACATGGAGCTCAACTTCTGCAAAACGGTATTCAAAGCCCTTGATAATGAAGACTGGCCACCGTACCTCCGGCTCGAGTTACGAGAACCGGCGGAATTTAAATTAAATCTTGCTGTTGCCTGTTCCAGACGAAATTAAACTGGTTAACTCCGTCTGCGAAACAGGCGACTTCCAGCTTACCCAAGACAGCCACGACCAGTTAAAAAACTTTGCGTCTTTTCAGGTTGAAGGGAAATTCGAAACGCACTTCCGGTAATTCGTTGAGTCCGTTGGGGGTTCAACCGCAGACCTTAGTTATCGTCTGCAAAGGCAAGACAGTACCACGCGTCTTTCAAGACCATCAAAACTTGCACGGCGAGAGCCACCTTCGTACGCAAATGCAAAGAGCTTTAAGTATCCCTTTTCAAAACTAGCCTGTGACCCTCTTTTTATGTAAACGGATATATTTTCCCTTTCAGAGTTCTACCCATTGTTCAAATTTTTTAGTTAGTGTTAATAATTAGTTCTTATTATTATTTACCATTTTTCTTGTTATATAAGTTATATAAGTTTTTTGCTTACATGGCATTCTCCTAGATACAAGGAAAGCTACAGTAGGGTAGAATGCTCGCGTTCAATATCACTGTTGAAAAAGGTTTGCAAGAACAACTAAAGAGCACCTCAGGGCCTCCAGTTCCGGAAGCATTTGAATTCGTTGCCTCTGATTGGGCATGGATTACATGTCTGTTTTCTCGTTCGTTTGATTCATTCAATAGGCCAGAGTCAATTACTACTATCAAAGTATGTTGAACAACAATTTGACAATCGCTCAATCACTTCTTCCATCGTTTTAGTCAATGAATTGATCAGCCAGTGAGCCAATGAACCAATCAATCAAACATGCAATCAGTCGATATTGTAGCAAAAAACAAAATTAATTATATCCGTTTGTTTTGCCGCAGGTGAACCTGTGAATGTGTCTGTGACTGTTTTCGTCGAGTTCATCGGAGATATTGACGAAATCAACATGGTATGTTTGTTATGTTATTATGTTATTATGTCGAGGACTCTTAGTCAGTTTATATATCGCAATACCATGAAATTTACCAACACAAGAGCGCGCAAGCCATTAGATATCAACAGGAGCCTATCAAATAGGCTCCTGATATCAATTATTTCAAAAGTATAAAACTTATTGATTGTGCGTTTTTGAGTCATATAAGGGAAAGTTCATTTAATATGACAGGGGCGGGATGAAGATATTGAGGGGGAGCTCCGAAAATTTTGAGCCACCCGAAGGGGGGGCTCTGAAAAAATTGTTGCGCTAGGAGGGGGGGCTCCGAAAATTTGTATACTTCAAAACCAACACATGACATCATCATACAGATCGGATGGTTTTCAACTCAACAATTTAATGACCTGTGCAACTCAGCTATATCACGTGGTTTACAGATATAACAAATGTAGTCTCAGTAATTATTACACTCTTGTTCATCCCAAAAATGCTTTAGAAAATTGTATCACAACTGTATCTCAAGTTTGTCATAGTATAAACCATTGAAGACAATAACGGTAAATATATTTAATACAGTCTAGCGATCTTTTTCAGGGGAGCAAAGGAATTGAAGGAGGAGGGGGGGCCTGAAATTTTTTTCGACTACCAAGGAGGGGGGGCTCTAAAAAATTGAACCGCTAGCGAGGGGGCTGCTAAAATTTCAAGCTTCGAGTTTCAATATCTTCATCCCCCCCTTGTCATATTAAATGAACTTTCCCTAAGCACTTGACAATTTTTCAAGACACGCGAGAAGTACAAATTTCCTGGGGCTGATGTCTCACTTACCAACCCCGTGTCGTGTTTTGGAAAGGACGGCGTCATTGCTTATTCAACCCAACTATTCACTCAAGACGCTTTTTTTTCTGATCGAAATATCATAAAAAATAAAAATGAAATATCCAGATTCGTATCCCTAGAAGCCATTGAACAAACTGGGTTCTTTTTCATTTATTTGAACAGGAATTTACCACAATCATGTACTTTCGTCAGTACTGGATGGACAAACGTCTGCAATATAGCAATACAGGATACTCCAAGAGACTTGCCTTCAATCCACAAATGCTCAAATTTATCTGGGTACCCGACACTCACTTCCCTGGCATCAAGGATGGTCTCAAACATGATATCACGGATACTAATGAAGTGATCCGGTTATGGCCAAATGGATCAGTGCTGTACAGTATGAGGTGAGTGAGGACTGGATATGAGCATTAATTCTCCCGGGGGGGAGAGGCTACTTGGGTTAATTTTTGCTGGGTATGTGTCGTTGGCCTCTCAGAACCCCTACCCCATCATTTTCTATTCTATAGCCAAATATAGACCCCATCTTGGTCACTTTTGGGAAAATGTACTTTTCACGATCCCAACTTAGTAACTTTCTGTTCATGCATGTACCTTATAAATCCTTTTAGCTAGGTCATCCTGAAATGACTTGACACATTATTTAAACTTGATGTAGTAAAAATCTTCCCATCTTCTGATCCCCCAGATCCCGAAAATGTGCGTTCCCATTCCAGTAACTCTGATAAAATTGCAACCCCATTCGTGAAAATGCAACCCCATCCAGCGGGACATCCCCATTAGCCTGTTACTAGGAAGTACCCCCCGGGATTTATTCTTGGGCTCAAGATGTCTGAACATCGAAAGTTCTTTTCTTTTGCGGTTTCACAGACCGGAGATTAAGTCGAGGCTCACAAAAGTGCAGAAAAAGAACGAAGCCAATATCTAGATAGCCATTTTGACCAGACAAACAAAGAATTTATTACATGGCCAAGTTCGACCAACTGCAAGGCTCCCTTGCCCGAGTGGGCATGATAGATCTACTTTTGCTTATGAAAACAAAAGACGTAGTTTTTTAAACTTTAAATTTGGCTGTAGAACAGAATTACTGATCATAATTTCTCCCAATATTTTCTTTTTCAAAGGCTCAAGGTAACATCCCAGTGTCCTATGGACTTGAGAAACTTTCCTATGGATAAACAGAAGTGCCGTCTAAACTTAGAAGCTTGTAAGTCAATTCTTCGTCTTTTTAACAGGCGCATGGCAAGTATGGGAGACAAGAAGGAGGGGTTCTCCCTCGCAGGTGCCGCTCTTGAGGTCAAGGTGGTTACCGTACACATTTATCAAGTTCCTCAGTTTCTGGATTTTCAAATCGATCAAGGCGAATTCGACATCCATCATAAGAATTCATAGAATAACCAAGCCAAATAGTCTTGTCATCTTGACCGAAAAAAAATTATGAAGCGCTTTCTCATATCCTATAAGATAAACTTTTGTGACGTCTCTTCGTTACCATCTTCTTTTTGGCTGGAATTTTACTAGACTTTCAGTTTTTAACTGGACACTTTCCTTAAAACTAAGCAAATATCTTAAACGTAAAACTTGATGGCTTCGCATACGCTACAAAAATAGAATCACACGTACCATACAATATTTTCCTTGATTCAAGGGGAAAATCGTCCACCTTTTTTTTTACATTTAAGTTTTTAGTATCTTCTTTAAAGTTGTTTGATAATATCATTAACTCTATAGGGGGAGTTCCTCTGGGAGGGTTGTTGGATGGAAGGAGATCCTCTACCTATTGGGTAACTGATCAGAATTTCGACCGTCACGTTTAAGAAAGCATCCGTGATTGTATCCTACCTTCGTAATTAACCTGATCGATATTTCTTTTTCAACGTCCAGTCAGTTATGATGACAAGGAAATGACCCTGAACTGGCACAAAACGAACCCTGTGACAGTATCAGAGAGCATTCAAATCCCCAGCTACACTTTGTCTCATCACCGATGGTATTCAGCAGTTGAGGAATTCACAACTGGTGAGCGTCTGAGATTTTGATGTCTATACCTTGAGCTTAATCATAATAATAATCATTATAATCTTAAAAAAATATTCCCCGCCCTTTTTTGATCCATTAACTCTTATCACGAGACGCAGAAGTTTGTGCATTTCATACTACACAGCAGGTCACATTGGGAGAGTCATCTTGGCTTTCTAAACTTTATCATCCAGTAAAAACCATAGGATGAAATCTCCGCACTAGCTTAGCACTTTACCTGTCTGCACATGGTTTGTTTTCACGACGTTTCGTAATGACACTGAGAGCACGCAATAGGATGCTGGGATTTTATAAAAAATTTACAAACGAATTAGAACGGACTTCGGATGCAAGGTTCAAACGTTGAAAATTGGCCTCAACAAAATATTTTAGAGCATTCTCCTTTCGACAGCGTTGGTTGCTAAAAATGAACAGCTAAGGAAACTTCATACGCATGCGCCAATCAGATTAATAAACTGAAAACACATTAAAACGAACCCCCACTGCCTAGAACCTAGACGTCTCTCTCTCGATGAAAATGTGCGCACAAAGGAAGGCGGGAAGGAGGAAACGGACATCGCCTCTCTTCTTTCTCCTTCCCATGGTCCCTTGTACTACGTCACCAGTCACTCGCGTGTCACTCGCGTTTTGCGCCCGCCTCTGTGCGAAAAATCGAAGCGCCTGAGGAGGTTGCAGGAACCCATATTTACCAACCAACCCTTCGGTATAGTGAATGATAGTGTTCCCTTCAATTATAACGAACGATTTTTGCTTTCCCTCTGCTCTCAACAGTATACTCGTATAATGTTGTGTAGTGCTTTAAATGAATTTGTGTTACACTTGTTTGACAGGGGACTACTCCTTACTGACTATCGAATTTGATTTGCATCGTCGCCTGGGATTCCACATGATTCAGGTACAACTATTTAGATATGCATATAGCAGGCCTGGAGAACAAGGTGTCCAGCAACCTCGTTCCCAGAGACCTCTTCTACCCGTCCCCCGGAGCGAGTCTCTGGCTCCAGGGGACTGTAACTAGCAAGCAGTCACACCTAATGGGAATAACGTCTCTAAAATTATTTGCAAGTGTAAAGATTCACCGCATTACCTCGACTGCTGGCAACTTATTGACCAAGAATTGACCGTTAGAGCCTATAGCATGATCAATAGGCCTCACTTCAATAGCTGGGTAGCGCTATTCAGTCAACTGGATTAGTCACTACCGAGCTGGCCCTAGCCGTTTCAAAAAGGTGGATAACACTACATCCACCGGATAAATCTCGGTCCGCTGGATACCGTGATTAATTTTTCTAATATTTGTTTGCTGGATGGTGAATTATCCTATGGATAGAGCTATCCCACGTTTGCACAACTGGGCCTTGATATGTGTTAGGGAAACCAATTTTAATATCTGCTGTAAAGAGTTTTAAATTTTTTTACATTACTTAAGACTTAAAAATGCCTCCTTTCATTGAGAAATTAGCCTATGTGTATCCATTATTATCAAGTACCAAGAGCCCACTTTCGTATTTTCTCGGATATTTATTTGTTATCCGCATGCGTCGTTCTTTTTGCAGATTTATCTTCCATGTTACTTAATCGTGACTTTGGCCTGGGTGAGTTTCTGGGTGGATCGTGAGCAAACAGCTGCTAGGATTGCCATGGGGATCACCACTGTACTCACCATGGCAACGCTGATTGGTAGTGCCAGGACCTCCCTGCCAAAGGTTTCCTACGTCAAATCCCTCGAATGGTTCCTGATGATGTGTTTTCTGTTTGTTTTCTCCGCCATTCTGGAATATGCCTTTGTGTCATACCTGGTGTTCAAAAATCGAGAAAAGGAGCGAGAGAGGGAGATCATGCACAAGAAACATGACGATGTAAGTATATTAAGAAAATATGGAATAGGTGAATGATCGAGCGCACTTCCTTAAAAAATGTTTGTTTCGCTCCATGTAACGAAATCTAAGACTGTCTTGAATTCTGGATTCCTTGCCATGGATTCTGGGATACAGTACTGGATTGCGGATTCTTTGTCAGTGGAACTTAGATTTCGGATTCTAATCGTTAGTGAAAGTCCGGATTCCTTTTTTCCAGAAGAAAAGTTTCCGGATTCCCTAACATGGGGCGATATGTTAATACAAACTTTTATATAACCAGAGATGTATTGTTGGGCCGGCCGAACTTCATGATCACGCTATACGATTATTGAAGTTTGTTGCTTTATTAACCCATATTTGTTTCTCTCAATCTTACCTGTTCAAGGCATCTCAAACTCCATAACAGGAACTTGAAAAGTGGTTTTTAAAACTAGAATTGTAGCTGCTTTTACCCTCAAAGCCATGTGTCAACTAAATGTCAGCCATCTTTGTTTATTCTTTCTTCACCAGGAAAACACATTCGAGGCTGCCGAGGAAAACATGGACAACGACAAACCACCCCAGTCCCCCGGCAGTCGCCAATCTTCAGGGCAGGAAGCGGTCTGGATCCCAGGAAAAAATCAGGTGGAGACAGTGATGAAGCCAGGAAGATGCAAGTGTTCAACCAAATCGGCCCAGGAAGTGGACCACTATGTCAAAATCCTCAACACCGTGGAGTTTTTCTCCAGGTTGCTCTTCCCGATTGTGTTCATTTTTCTGAATATTGCCTATTGGCTTTACTATGGCGGAATTCTGAAGTAAAGGAGAAGTACTATAGGCCTGCAGATAAGCTTGCCTGTGCTGTGATTACATATTTGGCTCTCGCTAAAGTAGCTACAGGTATCACTATGTTAAATCGATTTAAATTTGTCAAGGATGTTTTTCAGCGAGCATAACAAGGTTAAGTTATTTAGGTCGGCTTGAATGTCGTTTACGATTATTATTAAAATTTGCCAGCATAAGTAAGTTAAATGGGATTGGTTAAGGTATCACCTTTTGAGAATACATCAAGGTCATTACAGAAGGTAAAGCGACAGAAAATAATCAAGTTACGTTAGTCTTTAAATTTATGGAACCTGCTTGAATATTAATATTAACAGCTTATTTCAACCCGCTTTTAAATGTTACCTTAGCATTAACTGTAAGGGTAATTAACTTTCGTAGTATAGAAAGAAAAGATGACTTAACATTTCTTTTATATATCCGTTATGAAATAAGCGATTCATCATTTCTTGACCTGTGAAGGAAAATGCTTAAAGGTTTCAACTTTTGCATCTAATATTCTCTTTCACAAACATGAAGAGACCCAGCTCAACTCAGTAGGCGACCACGATGTGAAGTTAGATATACTGATTTAATTGAACTTCCGCGGAGATGAAGGCTTTTCAGTATTAATTTCGAGCTGAAACTATCCATGTGTATTATAAACCGAAAAATGAGCAGTTTTTTTCATTTCTCTAAGAGTAAGGGAAGCGAACAAACTACGCGAACGCGCGGAAGATCCTCGCGTCTCCTTCCGGAAGCGATTCTTCGTGCGCTTGCTTTTCGGTAGCTTCATGAGAGGCAATAGACCAAACGCATTTTTCAGCGTGTTTCACTAAAAATACTCCTCTATAGGATTGCTATTTTCCAAGAAACCTGTTACGGATCTAGGTGTCTATTAAATTGGAATCTGAATAGGTCTTAATGTAAAACGATTTGATAGGGGCTGAAGTTGTTACTAGATGATGAACTTCTATCAGAAGCGGATGAGGTTCTGTAAAGCGTCTTTTGAGGTAAGCCTAAAACTTAGCCTGCGAAAACAGCCGTTTCTGCTCGCTCTTCGCCGCTAAGGACGTTTCGCGAGAGGAAACGGCTCTTTTCGCAGGCTATCTAAAACTTGGCTGCACCTCAAATATTTTACCCAACTGTCGATCCGGGATTCACTATTCTAAAACTAATATTATAGTCGTAATACATTAGAAAAATAATAGCAAAAACAAATTACTTCCGTACGATAGGAAATCATCTATAATATACCACTGTTAATCCGTAAAATTCTGTTTCAGCTCCAAAGTGCCGATTTAGCCCAACACAGCGCAAGTCTAATGCAACCTCGTTCCCAGGTTCTCCCTCTTAATGTAATGGCGATGCGCAAAGTTACTGTTTATAGAACTAAAACTTAAACAAACAAATTGGAATCATCATTAGCAAATTCCTCTGTTTTGTTTGTTTTTTGTCACTGAAATGATGTCGAGTTTGTCGACAAAAATGATAATTTCAGACAAACATTGCAGTTAGTCTCTCTGACGTCATTTGTGCGCTGTACTATTCAGCCTCTCGGGGAACCATTTGAAGACAATTAGAGAGCTTTTTCGGCCCACCGTCGGTCTTAATTCAGTCCTTGAGTTTATAGTATCCCTAGATACATTAACTTAACTTTCTTTAAGATTATAAGAAATTCCAAGTTCGGGGCTGGAACAAATCGTTTGTATTTACAGTGCATGCCGTTAGAAGCCATATCAAACACGTGAAAGACTGTTTTATCCGATATCCAGGCGGTCTGGAAGTCGGTTAAACTTCAGTCATCCACATATCAAATAAAACGCTCCTTCTTGTGTTTAATATAATAGCACTTTAGCTGCTGAGGTCCTTTCCTGAAGTACGTAACCAGAGCAAAGGCAATAGGCTATATAATGTAAATATGATTAAAGTTAGATAGCTTTGTATATGTAATCAAAGTAAATACGCAGTCCATATAATGAATATTCTAGTAAATATTGCATCACATTGCACACTGTCATAGGAAACTATTAAATACATACAGTTAAAAAGGACCAAGAGTAGTATTGATCATTCTTGGGACAAACTGTTCACATGACTCTCTATTTTCTCGTATTTTTTTTTGTTCAAATGTTCAAAATGTTCAAATGTTCAAATTGACGCCGGTGTCATAGCGTTGCGCAGGAACGGGGGGACAGGATGCGAGATGCGTTTATTGGGACTGAAGGGTGTGACTGCTCCTAGCAACCCCAGTGCTAATTAAAATGGATGGCTTAGGAACACCCTCACTAATGATGAGCTCTTCTTCTCTTCCTAAGCGTCCACATTTTTACTAACGGCTTTAGAATTTTACATTTCTCATCCTCCTTTAAGCGACCACTTGAAGCATGGTTTGATCTTATACGTTTGTTGTATGCACTGGTGGATCCAGGGGAGGGGCCCGGGGCCCGCTCCCCCTTATTTTTAGACGAAACTGAGGCCCAAAGGGCCGAGAAAAAATTTTTTGAGACCGGGCTGCCCCCTTATCTGAGGGTCTTGATGACCGGGGCCCCCCTTATCTGAAGGTATGGATCCGCCACTGGTATGTACTTCTCTTCTAAGGGAATGTGATGTACTTTTAGTGGCAACATGAAACTACGCATATGGTAGGGTGGCCGCCAAAGGGAGGTTTAACTGTAGATCAAAATTTCATATCTTAAAGAACAAACGTAGATCTGAGTTAAAATCTTTAAACGTAGATGCGAACTGGAGTTTGTCAACCAACCTCTTTTAATGGTGTCAGGATTCTAACGTTATACTTTAATTTTTGATTGAGAGGTTTTCTATGATGAATACAAATAATCACGACTTATGACATGAAAAAACGTTTTTATGGTCACCGTTGAATTAACGTTTTAAAATATCGAGAAGTTAATTAGATTTCTAAGAGAGTACTGTACCGTAACTATCTAAATGAAGTAAGGAAAACGGCTCTGTGATTGGCTACATCTAAAACCAACGCCCCCTACTTTTGACGTTGCATTTTGATTTGAGTAGTTATGCCTATGTGAACAGAAATGTTCTAGGTATGACATAACAGTAAGTCACTGTAATAATACCACGTATTTCTTTTCGCCCTAGTAGGTTGATAGTTCTCTCTATGGCTATCAGTCCTGTTTTGATGATTATTGACAAAATGTCTTGTTATCCATCGGTTGTGGTGAAGCCATGTGGCTCATACGGATACAGGGGCGAATCTAGGGGGAGGGTGAAGGGGGTGCGCACCCCCCCCTTGAGATGACCTGCGGTTTTCTAATACAACTGGTATTCTGCAAAAAGAAAAAAACTATGTGGTTTATTGGTGTTGAACTAGAGCAAGAGACGAGTGCACCCCATCCTAAAAAAACCCTGGATCCGCCCCTGGGATAACTACTCCGGTGAATTTCATGATTTTATATGAGGGTATTTTGATCAGGTATCTTGAAGAGGCACAACGGATCTGCTGGATTGTCCAAGCACAGGAGATGTCGGATAAAGCTGTAGGCAAAAACAAAAAAAGACGTCTGAGTGGCTAAAATCTCTAATTTCTCAGCGAGGTTTCATTATCGAGAGTCCCTAAATGCAAACTGTAAAACTAGTTCTCAAAGAGAGTACTCATAAAAGCATACTTACTAGGGGTTATCGAAGCATGTGGTCTTTAATCCTCTTGCCTTGGCTCGATTTTCTAACTCAAGAACAGTCAGGCTGTCGCATCTTTCTCTATAAAATCGATAAATAAAACGTTTTGAAATGAATGATTATAACGATTACTGAGCTACTTTCCACTACATTTTGGTACAAACTACTTCTAACAAGCCGTTAATCCAAAATAAACAAAACAGGAGGCTTCACTGGACCATGATCTGGAATCAACTCCTTTCAAACTTCTTTCTGGCACTTCTTGCTTTGTTCTGCGTGCACTTACAATTAATAATTTGAAATGAAGGTCTCTTCTAATCAAACTGCCTTTTAAGTTGCATATCAAAATAATGCTTACAGAGATTTGTGATGAAGAGAATGACCCACGAGAATCCTAAACTCTGTGACACCTGGTATAGGAAGACTCGGTAATTGCTGCTCCGCCAGATAGCTATAATACATTAATAACAAATAGAATGAATAAATGGCTAGGTGATAGTGCTTAAGAGATACGTTTTGGTTTTCACTCATTAAGGCAAATAAATCCAGAAAATCAGAATAATGGTGATGTTAATGGCCATGTTGCGGGTGAGAAGACCACTGTACGTGTCCTCTTTACAAGTAAACAGAAAGTTTCTTGGGTTAATAGGACCGATGAATCCTCCCCTTTGATATGGTAAGTTCACAACTCCTTGCACACATCACTTAGTCAATAAATGCGAATAACAGCTCGAACCTGTCATCCATAAAAGTGGGAAAAATCTGCTTGTCCAGAAAGTGCTGTCTTGTGCCGTTCAACATGACGTGTACCACACCTCTAGCCCTCTCTGCCAGCTGATAAGTTAGGAAAAAAATCGTTATATTTCCGCCAGTAATATCTAATTAATTTAATACACGCTATTTGTTTAACACGACCGTGAAGCTGATGTTTTTTTTTGTTGGAAATATAAGCTCTCCGCAATTCTCTTCCATCGTTGTAACGCGCTGGGGATGCGACAGTGTTTGCGGAAACTTCCCGGATGTTTTGTATGGTGTATACCTAAATCCGTGAAAAGTCAACAAATAAATTATAAAGTACGGTTGGAAAATTTAACTTCCCTTATAGTCCTGGATGTAGTGAGCTACTAGCTAAATCGGACAAGTTTTAAATTCTGAAGAAATGCCCCTTGTTCCGGCTCTCACCTTAGCAAAACGCAATACCACATTGAGTTTTTTGGTCAAATTTTCGTGAAACTGAAACCTAGATTGTTGCAATTCACAAAGTTTTATTAGTCCAAAAAGAAGAGATACATTTCGTTACAAAATGTTCAGATTGTCACTCTCTTTAAAATAAAATTCTTTCATGTAATCAGTATACTGAGCGTAGAATTTTCCAGTTCACAATCTCATTGTAGCCTACTTTGCAGTTTCCTTCGGTTGCGCGACTGTTTCATATTTTTTCCAGCCCTTCCCTCCCCTTCCCGCTCCTTTTTTGCCCTAAAGCCTAAAACGTCAAGCATCTTTCTCCAGCCCTGCATTTCAGGGTACAATCATTGTCGCGTTTGATCTTGTGCCAAACGTATTAACGTTAGAACTCTTTCCTTAGTTTTACCGCTTACTTTAGCCGCCGCCTGACCCCAAAAAGGTTTCTGTTTACTGCATTCGTAGGGACAAGACTTATAGTCTATACCAGATCCTTCTTTTTTGCCACACCACGTCAAGCCGTTCATCAGAAACCTGGGAAAATCTATCAATAAATCACCTTGGAATATGTTGAGGTATATCGATCAAGGGGGAGAATGTTTCTCAAAAGGTAGGCGCAAAGTAGGATTATAATATTGTGATAAACTCTTTCTGGCCAACCATCCCATGTAAATGATAAATGTGTATTACGAGGGACCAAGAGCCATTACGACTACACTGGCGGAGTTTAACTAGGTTTCTCATTGCATGGGACACCAAAGAGTACAGTCAAACCTGTAAGCGAACCTCAATTTAGCGGTCACTCTCCGCTTTAAAGCGGTCACCAACCAAAGGCCCGGAAATCATTTCCCTCAATTACTGTAAAACTGACGCTATTGAGTGGTTACCTCCATTAAACGGTCGCGATCACCTTTTCCCACGTCCCAACGGGTTAATTTGCATTGTATTCACCTCTATTAGACGATAACTTTGACAATTGCACACTAGCGTAACAGATACAGTGCGTATGGTGTTTATTAGTCTCTAACCTCCTTTCTTTTGGGAAAAGAGGAGGTAGAGGCACTTTCAGGTCGTTTTGTCGTAGGATAGATACATTGTCTGTTGCTCTTTCACCATCTATATTTTCTTGAATAACCCTTAGGTTATTCAATTAAACCTGTATAAACGATCAACCGGGTATTAAGCGGTCAGTAAGCCACTCCCAATGGTGACCGCTTTATACAGGTTTGACTGTATTACTACTCTTCCTGGATTGGATTATATTCCCTCATCCGGTTGTCCATGGCGGTATGTCGTTGGTATACCACTAGTCCGGAAAAGAAACGGCATACTGGAGCACAGTTTCTTCTCCAGAGAAGCAGATCGATGGCAAAACTTGGGTCCACATCAACAAAGCCAGTGCTAACCACTCGGCTAAAACGCCCTTAAGCAAACAACAATAGCTGACGATTTATTTTTCTTTTAAATGTTAGCGACATAAAGGGAAGAATATAAATAAAAGAAGGAAAAAAGGAAGGAAGGATATGACCTCATTTCTTGGCTGTTCAAAAAATGTGATATTGTAAGAAGAAATGCCTGAATATTTATGACTATTTCCACCATTAAACTAACAAACTGAGATAAATAGCAGATAAATCTTACCCTGCTAATGTATCTTCCAAAGTGGTGAATTTGTCGTACAGTCTGGAGTAAGCATGGGTGAGTTCTCTTGTCCCAGACCAGAATAATACCTTAAATATCAAAAAGAACAAAAACAACAGCAGATTGAACTGAGAAAAGGTACACTTTTAAATAGAAAATACACCAGAAAAAAGCGTGTCTTACTCCTACCAGCTTCTAATGAAACAATGAGAGTTGATATCGGTTTTTTCCTCGCGAGTTACAAATAGTGTACATTGTCTTCGAAAGAATAGGCATGCTTTACTGAAAATGCCATTTCTAAGTTCGATTCTTACATAACCAGGCCTGTTCCAGGCATTGCATTTCAATACATCATTCCATTACACCAACTCCTGGTATACCCTATGACTGGTCAATTTTGACACTTGACGTCAACCACGTCAATAGGGATTTTAAGATTCAACGAAACGACAGCAACGAGAGCGTAAAAGAAAAAAAAACAAAACCAAAAAAGCAATAGGTTTAATGAGCAAACAACAACGTTGCACGTGCATCACACATTTTTGTGAATTTCTTTGCCGTTTTCGCGTTTTATGAGAATGTCAGGAAGCAACAACGAAATGTTTTTTCTTTATGTTTCTGGACTTGGATATGGTCCCTTGGAATTCAACTCAAGGAATAATCGCGATAAAGACTGAAAGAACGAAAATTTACTTTTTATTATAAGCGACGTTCTCGTTGCCGTTACGTCGTTGGACAAAGAAAAAAACAAAGCAAGCGCGTAAATCTTGGCCTTTTACAAGGCACATTTTGATATTTTAGCATTTGTCATTTCGATTCGAGAAACGATTTTTCTGGAACCGAGCGGAGCAGTGGGCGGGCTGAGGTATTTGTAGAGATGCTTACAGGATTTCCCCCATCTCTCTCGTCCCGCCCGTTTTTCGCTCACTCGTTTTTACCGCTCGCCCGCTTTTTTCGTTCGTCTGCACTGACCGAGAGCCTGGTACAGGCGTGGCACAACCAAGTACTATTGTATAGCAAGACAACACAAACCCTATTATTAAGAGGCTTTTCCTTGTACAAATTAAAGAAAGGAGTGTAATCATCGTATGTCACATCACATGGGCCCTTAAAAGCGAAACTTTTCGAAAAGACTTTCCACATCTCTTGACAATCCAGTTTATCTGGATCTTGAAGGTTCTTTCTCTTAGTTGTAACAAAATCCCAACATCGTCCAATAAATATTTGTTTTAAGTGGGGAGTTGTGCCGTTGATGGGTTTAAACATCCATTTGTTCCTCTTCTTGTTCAATCTTTGGTCATAATACTCCTGAATTCTTCTCTCAACAGCCGACTGGTCTTCATCAACGTTGCTCCGAGAGGTTGCTGTACGTTGTAGTGGGGTTATTAGGGATTTAACGCTCTGCCATAACCTAGCAACTGGGGCAACAGAAGGTATGTCTGCATTTACAGGAATATTATTCCATGAACTCAATTGGTAGGCTCGGCTCAGTAGGTTATTTCGCTTCGTGTAAGAGAGTGGCTGATTGATGAACTTTTGGTAGGGATAAGGATACTTTAGTTGAAGCATCCCACCAGGCCATGTCTGTCGTGGATCCTGACTCCTTCGAAATTGCTGAAACCTTGGCAGCCAATAGCGGAATTGCTTGGGTGATTGTATAACTTGCCAACTCGGCACAGTTTGAGAACGAGGCAGTCGTGGGAACCCATCTTTTCTTTGAGGTTTAAGACTGTTTCTGGCGTCTAAGCAAGAGAAAATTTAAATCAGGTTAGGGTTGCCTTTGCCCAGTTAATTTTTAACGATTTCGGCTGATCAATCTTATCAGTTTTTGAGCCTAAATAATCTCGCCTTATAATAATACGAGTGGTCGACTAATCTATATATATAACAAAGTCGCGCTGAAATGCCTTCATGTCTATGTATATGCTGAATATTTATGTTTTGTCATTACGAAGAATGGGGGTCAGCAAAATAGAGTCAACAAATAAGGAGACGAATTATAGTCTGTAAATTTATACTGATGGCAGAGAATCCAGAAAAAAAAAGCTATTCTGGCAATAGCAAGCTTTCTATTAATATATAGTCTCTTTGCATTCTGGCACAAAATTTTACCATGGCCGTTAGGGACCCTTGAGCTCAATTTGAGCTATAAAATCCGGTAAAAGTTAAGGTGGCTCGATAGGGTTTTTCAGGGTCAATACCTCCCAAGCTTGAGCATAGTTACGTCGCCATTATCAAAGACTTGGAAAAATTACCACCACATCCGTATTAGATAAAGACACAAATTTGTTATGATCAGAGTAACAATGACATAGGAGTTGTCATAGCAACGAAATGACGCCATTACCTATTTTACTTACAGCCGTATTTCTTGGCACTGGAAACTATTTTTTCCAAAATCGTTCACGGGAATGTTTTCTCCCAAAGCCGCCTCAGTGTAAGTGAAGTTTAAGAGAGGAAGAGCGAGCGTTTATTATATAGAGATATTTTGGGGTGAAGTTTTTATGGTTAGAAATACGGTAAAAACTGAACAATTTAGCTGTTCGGCCGTTATCTGTAGAAAACAAAGTGCTTTTAAAATGCAATTTCTCCTCATAGTACTTTCAATCTTTTTAAAGACGTGTGTGAAAGATCATGGAGATTGCTCTAGCTGATTGCTAGAAAAAGAAGGATTTGATTAGTATCTATCGAGGCGCTCTTGTTAGAGATTTTGTAAACACTACTTAAACAAATAAGCAAATAATTTTGAAACCGCTCGATAGATTTTTTTTTTTAAATTTGAGTCGAGATTAACCGTCGTATTATATGACCTTTGAAGTTTAAGATTATTGATATAATGTAAGGCAGTAAAATAAGAGCTACAATTCGGAATTATCGTATTTACAAGTGAGAGCCTCTCATCATTCAGTGGTAGGTTGCAACCAACGGCGTAGTGGAAATTTTTCCAAATCTTTGTTAATGGCGACGTAATTTTTTGCCCAAACTTGGCAGGTATTGACCCTGAAAACCCTATCGAGCCACCTCAACTGTGTTTCCATCCCCTTCTGTCTTTCTTACTACTGTGCTACTACAGTGACGAACACGAAACATTGGAACTGTATTGATATCCAAAAACCCCCGAGGGGTTATCTTATTGATACACTTAGTCTAGTTTTCAATGGTTGAACCAGTAGAGTGGTTTTCGTTAAAATCCGGATAAATGACGTCTTTAGTGTCTTAAGATCACTAACAATTATAGTGATATTTATGACATTTCTAACAAAGGAGACTTCCAGCTGGTAAACTATAACCCCCCTGCAGGATGATCTAGTTGTTTTAAGAACTAAACGCTTCACCTATATAAACAGCAAAGTCTTTTAAATGATTACTATATATCGACAGATTTGTCAGAGCCAACTAACCGGAACTAACCGAGAACACTTTATTTAGGTGTAACATACCACTGTACATACCCAAACAAAAGAAACATGAGTGTAATACGATAAAAAAGCCTGACAGACTTCTCCATGAAACCATGACCACCATTCATTCAACACCCTAGGAATGGTTTATGGAATGGTTCGGTGCTCCGTGGAGATTTTCGCCTTCTAAACAAAATAAAAGGAAACAAATTTAGAAAATTTTACTAACACATAAAATGTGATAGTCGTGTCTCCAAAATGATAAAAGTTTGTAAAACTGACCTTTAAAGTTTTGAACGAGATATCGTCATTTTTCTTTTCTTCAGGCCTAAAAATGTTTTTAAAAATAACATGTATTGGTTAAGTTAGTAAATAAAGTTACAACGAGAGCAAATTTTTACTCCAAATGTTTTATAGATGAAATCTGTCTGCTGCTTACAGCTTTCATTATTCTTCAATGTTTGCAAGAAGAACGCAATCGAGCATGGGACAGGTACCGGCTGTTTGAACAGGTGTGAGAACGAGGTAGTCTTTACAAAGAAGCTCAGTAAAATTTCTGTGATTGTGAACATCGCAGCACTCTTTTTATTTTATATAATTCAACAGTGATTTCTATTTGAGTTTACACAAAAATGACATAAAAAACAAGATACAACAAGTTCACCCCGTCTAAGCTTAGCCTTCAGTGACTAATACATGAAGGTCTTACTGAGAAAGTTGGTCAACTCTTTAAGCATTGTTAATATATCTCTAAATCAGTGCTTAAGAGGAATCCCCTATCGCTGCTACTTCAGTGCTACAAAGGCCACTGAGCAGCTGTCTTTAATAGGATTTTAGTAAAAAGATAACTATTATAAAGTAAACATTGTTACCAAAATGCATTTTATAACTAACTAGTCACCAAGCTTAAGCTTAGAGCAAGTTCTCATAGCGGGAAAGAGTCACATCTGTCAATTTAAATAGACTTGACCGCAAAAATTTGTTCAAAAAAACTAGTTAATCAAGGAAAATAATATGAAAATTGAGACCCTTTATAGGTCGCCCGAGACGAAAAATGACAGCCTGATTAAAACCAACAATATTTTAATAACACAAAATTATGTGAACCGTGCTTATTATTTAATTTCTTTTTATGGACATTCAAAAGTGTTATTTCCTGACAGTAAAGAGACATGGGAACGAATTAATCAGAAATCAATATTCTGACGGCAGCACGGTGTAGAGACGCGCAGGCGCTCACGGGATGCACTATCGGGTTTGGTTTTTGTGGAGACTTGTAGAACTCTATGTTGGTCAGAATTCGTGTAATTTTTTTTTGGAAAGTTTGCGTATCCAGTGCCGTATGTTTTTGATATCCTTTCTTAGTGAGCCACATCAATGGCATTATTTATTATTGAATTCGGCTTTTGGATCCAGATATTTAACAATTATTGATTGAGGCTGAGTTTGATCTGAATTATTATGGAAACCGAGGAGGTTGTTGCCCGCAGAGGCCGATAACAACCTCCGATATCTGTTTTATCACTCAGATCATACGACAACCGAATCCAATAAATGTTTTATTTGTTATTCAAAATGACGTTTTCTTTAAAAACATGCTTACCTCGATCGATGTCAAGTTACCGACTTCATTTGGCTGTTTTCAGGCAATTCGGGACGCAAATGGCTGTTTAGTTTAGCAGATAGCAAATAGCAGTTATCATCCGTTGATTCAGGTTTTTCTTTTGCTGTTCTTGCTATGTTTGTAGGCAGAAACCTCGTCCTCAAGGCTTCTACGTTGTGGTAACTTTTTCTGGCGGTAGCTTGTACTTTTGACGTCATTTTACCGGATATTCCAAAGGTCTTGCAAATTTAGTTCATAATTGTTGTTAATCTAGCTGGTTGTGAAGAATAAGCCCTGAGATTTGAGCCAATCAGAAACGGAGAAATATTTTGAATTTATAATAATTAACAACTGGTTACTATTTTAAATAAGTGGAAGAGCAGGTCACTGAGGTGGAACAGAAGGTCAGTAGGGAGTTTAAGGTGATTCCCTGGTTTTGCACTGCGCATCTCTTACTGCGCATAACAAGATGGCCGACGTGAAAAAGAGCATCCAAAGTAACATTATCAAAATGAAGTTGATTGAAGAGAAACGCTATCAGAATTTTAGGTTGCGGTTGATTCTTGCCGAGATGAGAATCAATGTGTTGGGAATGTGCATAACGTAAGCAGTACGCGTGTTGCTGAGTTCGACTTCCTCACGGAGAACCTCGATAGTGGATGTTTAACTTGTGCTTACTCACTTTGATTTTCATTTAAACGCTTTCTTTATCACATTGTGTCCTAAATGTGATATCTCGATGAAAATTCTGAAAAAACGGATTTTTTTTATACTTTCTTCCCGCTTTCACATACATTCTATTTTGAAACTCGTCCCAGTCCTCTCTCAAAAATCGGAGAAAATGCATTTGGTGCGCACTCTCTGCAGAACTACCGCAAAAACGAGTACGGTGACCCCTAGATCATTCTCTCTTGGTGACTCCCATTTTTTTATTTCATGATTTTAATAAGAACAGTCCTTCCTTTCGATGAGAAAAAAATTGGCACAAATCTATCTTCAGTTTTTTGGCAATTTTACTAAATTGTACGGATTGAGCTATCACGGGTCGAATAGCGCGTGTCCAATTTAATTCTACTTTAGAGCGTAAAGTAAAAAGAGGGCATTAAAGGGCATTTTTCTGGTACGTAAGTGGATAAACAACATATTAACGTCAAATTCTGTGCGATAGCACATGCATCATGGAAAAAATCTCTCCTTTTTTTTTTTGTCAAAGGGTCCTAAAATAGCCGTATTTGTCAGCATTGTTACGTCAAAACGAGCATGGTGACCCCCACTTTTTATTGCTTTTTTATCATCGTCTTGACTTGTTACATCAGTGTACCAAGTTTCATCTACAATCTATGTTAGTTTCTTTTACTAAGGAATCACCCTAAGCAGCGATGTTTTTGAGCGACGCACGTCAACCAAAAAAGGACTTTTTGCTTACTTGAGCTGTGCTTTTGAACAAACTTTTGGGCAAATCGTCTCTATAAGAGTAAAGACACTTAGCCATACAAATTGGGGGCGTCAGGGCTTATTAAATGAGAAAACGGTTCACTTGCGGTTGGCGTGCGTCACTCAAAAGCGTTTCTGCTTATTAAAACTCTAAAGCTCCCTACTATTAGGAATAGTAACCCTAGTGTTCCACTTCAGTGGCCACAATAATGAGCTGCTGGCTCTAAAACAACGGAAAGGTGCCTCCTCCTCCTCCTCCTCCTCCTCCTCCTCCTCAGGTGCTTAGTTTTTCGCACAGAGGCGAGCGCAAAACGCTAGTGACACGCGAGTGACTGGTGACGAAGCGCAAGGGACAACGGGAAGGTGAAAAATGAGGAGGCTAAGCCCTTTTTCTCCTTGGCACTTTCTTTTACGTGCATCGAGGCAGAGAGAGAGACGTCTGGGTACGAGGCAGAAATCTGATAATGCCTGAGCTCCGAGGCTTTCTTAAAATAATGACCGAGCGCGTAGCAAGAGGTCATAATTTTAAATAAGTCCTTGGAGCTCAGGCACTATCCTACATCTAATTTTCTTGCAGGTTTTCCTCAAGAAGCAGTTGACATCCATCAAACGGTTTTTTTGTGTATTCTTACACTCTTTTGTGCTGTTTTGTCATCGCGTAGCGTTCAAATCTTTCGCCATTTTTTGAGCACTGTACTGCTAAAACAGCTACGGACGTCGTGCATAACGCCTTCGCCGTTATTCCACTATTGACGTCAGAAACTGACGTCAGTAGTGGAATATAGCAAACATCTTCCATATTTGGTCAACGAAAAATGGTTTTGGAGAATGAGCCATGGGTTGTAAAGCTGATCTAAAAGGGGCAAAAATTTGGAATAGATCAAGTAATGATCAAGTAGATGATTATAGAATTAGGTATTCAATGTTTTTTCTTTTTTACGATTATTAGATATTCGAGTTCGATGTTTTTTTTATCATACCTTTATTTCGGGGTTTTACGCCTTTGCTTTAGTTGAGAAATAAGTTTCCAAACTTTACAGTGTACCATATTAACTTAAGACTAAAAGAATACAATTAAATAAAAATGTTAACGAGTTAGAAAGAACAAACAACAAAACTACTCCGTGTCCATGGTGTCGCACAAAAGGTAGAGGTTATATCCATGCCAACACAAAGGGCGGAAAGAAAGGGAGGGGCACGTTAAGATCTGTCAATTCGGCTAAATTTAAATGTCTCAAGTTGTTAGTTAGACGACAGCCTTGTCGAAGGTACACTAATATAACATCTACTTTCTGCGATATTTGCAAAATAAATGGGGCTATGGATTGCCTTGCTTGGGAATTTATAAATGAATGAGAGCAAATTGGAGCCAGCAGAAACCGCACAAATTGCCAGACTGAAATAGCAAGGCGTTCAGGACACCTGTTTCATGACCTTTCCTTTCTCATTTGCCTCAATTTTCTTTACTGGGAAAAGGAACAATGTTTGCAAGAATATGCAACTTGCGTGACTTCAGCAAATAAAAAAAAAACGATCTTCCTTAACTACGCAAACTGCGCTCGATACAGATAAACGGAAAACGTTACGAAACAGCTGGTGTCAGAATTGAAGACAAAGACCCCCTGTTTATCTCTTGACAAGTTAGTGAATTATGTATTACGTCATTGGTGCTCGGTCAAGTGGAAAAACCCATAAGATCATAGTTCTAAGAAACCATTCTATGGCGGTTATTGTAGCCACAATATGACTGTTTGTTTATAAAAAAAAACAACAACAGATTCTTGAGAGTCAAGTTTGCCTGAATGATGCTGTTGCGAAATCGTGGCGTTGTTTTGGCTTTTCTCTTCAACCTGTGTCTCGTCACTGGAAAAGGTTAGTGAACTGCGCGCTTAGTCCAAATATTTCACCCCCACATGATCATTCTTCAGCTCAACACCTGAAGAGGCAAATTTTTACGCTTAATTACACAATTTGGACGCCAAATATTGTTAAACGGAGCGAACAAAAATATCCAGTGAATATCTTGTGTTCTATCTGAACAATCCACTCAAATTGCTATAACGCTTTTTCATTCTTTAAAGGACGATTCATTCCTTCAAATTAGGTAACCTTATTGTATTTTTTATTGCCTGTAAGGGCGACAGGACACCGGCCCAAAACAACATTCATAGGGCTTAATATTCATACGAATAGGACCTAAGGCTTGTTTTCAATAATGGGGCTTTGTGCTCGTTTTCCGGTATACTAGCACACTCACTTATTTCAAGTAAATATAAACAGAATGAAAATAACTTTAAATGTTAATTCGTTAGTTCTTCTTTGTTCCTTACAAACGTACGCCATTTTCCCACCTGTTTCAGATCTGCTACTTCCGAAATGTGTCAAAATTATATCTATCAACGCTCCTTTGGACGATCCAACAAGGGCTACAGAAAACTATGGCCTGCATGCCGAGAAAAAGGGAGTGGTTCTTTCAGCTAAACCTGGGATTTTTAAGGTTCATAAAGGTCTTTTGAAAGAGAATGGGACGGTATCCTTGGAAGCAGTTTTCCATCCCAAACATTTCTTACGCCACAAAAACTACAAGTTTCATTTGGAGAAAGAGCTCAACAATTCCATGTTCTGTGAGTAATTTAAGGAGTTATACTTATAGGAATAAGAAGAGAAAAAATTCTCAAAGTGTATTTAGTTCGTGCAACATTAATTTAAAAGCTTTAAAGCTTATGTCGGTTGTCTTGACCAAGTTTTAGTATAGTTGTAGTACTTGAATAAGGAAGCTAATGTTTATTATAGTCTCTTTGATGCTTTTCTCAGGAATGCAAGATCATTTTTTACACCCCGCCGTGAATTAAGCTATGTTTGACCTCGTTTATACCATAACCCAAATACCGTAACAGCTGCACTGTTGGAGTTTTTGAGTCATCTTTCGGAATATGTGAATAATTCAGTGATTTAAGGGTCCCCTAATAAGTTTTAATTAACCAATTTAAAGTAATTAATAATCTAATCAGAATAAAATTCAGAATCATGATGTTAACGGTAATAATGTTAATGATAATAATAATAATAATGATAATAATAATAATAATGATAATAATAATAATAATGATAATGATAATGATAATAATAATGATAATGATATTGATAATGATAATGATATTCATAATATAGTGAATGTGTGGTCAACGTAGCGTAACCAAAGAGTTATGGTTCGTGTATAAGTAGCTAGGGCTTGTTCCTCGATGTTTTGCATAACAATTTCTGCTACAAAAACAGAAACTGGAAAACTCATAGTCAACAGCTACCGGTACCGTACAAACGACTTATCGACAGAATCAAACAAGACTAACTACGAGAGAACGGCTGGACAACTGACAATTTGATTGACAGAAAACGACTGTTTAACTGTGACAGTAGACAGATCGAAAGTCGGAAACGCACCAATGACATTACGAGTCTTCATAGCCAACAGCGTCATGACTTAACTGACCGACGACCAGTAAAATCGCGACTTAATTGACCAATCAGGTCAATAACCAGGGTTTATACCATCAACTGACGTGATACAACTCACTTTGACTCTGAAGATGACTACCGCACAGGTTGTCGAAACGTCAGTCACTGTCAACAACAGTTCTATTCAGGATTACGTTCACCCGGACGATCATACTCAACCTACTTATGAAATAATAACGGTTGTCAGCCATCCTTGATACTGCTCATATCTTGTCTCTAAGTTGTGGGAAGCTGCTGAGACATGGCTGAGGTACCCAGAAAATATCAGAGAACTGGCTCACACAACAATAATAATAATAATAATAATAATAGTAATAAATTTAATAATCATCATTATCATCATCATCATAACCGTAATGTATAAGTACTACAAGGCCAATTTCATTAACAGGTTGGACATTTTTTCTTACACAATTACAGAATTAGAAAGGAGATAATATCAGGAATGGGAGTGACTAGAAAAAGGTTGTGCTTATTCATCGGATGGATATAATATTAATAGTTCTCTTTGTCCCACGATGTAGTCACCTGAGATGTAGACTGCATTTAAGTTGAATCATCTTTGTTTTTCATTATTAGTCTGATTTGTTTTTATTGTTGTTGTTTTTGCCTTATTTCAGTTAAGGACGCTACATTCTTCATCCTGAAGGTAACAGAGAACCCAGCCCTGTATGCTTTTGAGCTGTACAGTCACCCCACCTGGTTTATGCGGCATTTGAAGCACAAACCTTACAAAGTAGTGCTGAGCAAAGTCAATGAATCAAGTAAAGAAGTCATGGATTCCACTTTTTACCTTTCTCCTCATGATTGTCCCTCAAAGAAGAAGAAACATGGTAATGCTCAGATTAGAACATTCTTGTTTTCTAGACGTTACAACCAGTAGAAAGGAATCCTGTCACAACGTTTTCATTAGTTTATGCAAAGCAAACATGCATATCACGGCAACAAAAGTGGCATTAATGACCGAGGACAGTAGGTCTGATCTTGTTGCACGTAGTTTCCGTGCTAAAAACACAAGATCATTGACCTACCGCGGCGCAAAAGTTGTATGAGACAATTTGGGAAGAGTCAGGCTTTTAATATTAGTGGTCATGCTTGTGTGTCGACAGTTGCAGAGAGGCGGGTCTTCTAGACCGAAATTACTTTGTTCTTGATTTGTTTGAGTGTTTTCTTGATAAATCCAAGTGTCACTTTACTTTGCTACCCGGTAACTTTAAAGCTGTTAATTCAAAGTATAAATCATTCTTACTGCAATCTCAGATTCTACTGTGGAAAAGAAGACAGTTCTCGTCGGAGGAGGAACCTTTATTGGTAAGTTGCTACACAGTACAATTTCCGCTAAAGCGTCATTCAGAGGGTACGTAATGAAGGCAAAAAACAAGTGGTCACGACTTCAAGAAAGGTGACTACGCCAGGCGTTCAACAAATCAAATGACTAATGTGCTCAAGTCATCTACAATGGAACGTATTGTATGAACTGGCGCTGTTGGTGATAATAGCCATATTTTAAACGGATAAATGGCCAGGGATTTCCCTCTCCGTATTACTTTTTAAAATAAGCGTTGCATACTTTACATTTATTTTGACAGACTGAATAATTTTTATCAGAAAACATCATACCGATAAAGTCAAAAACCTAGTTTAGTGGCCTTAGCTCCCATGAGTCTCCTGTAGCTTCGTGGTAGAACATCTGTACTTGTAACCAGAAGGTCACAGGCTCGACTTCTGCCTGTTGGGAGTACTCGGATTTTTTCTTCCGAGCAGCGCCTCTGTCATTGACTGAAAAACATCTTTCTCATTAAACAAATTCCTTTGATCTTTTAACTTTTTCACTCCAAGGCTACTTTCACACGGCACTGGGTGGACAAATTTTCGACCGGCTGAAAATTTTGACCCGACACTTGGTTCACAAGGGACCGTTCAATATTTTCGCTCTGTTTACAAAGACCTTTAAACGGCTGGGCGTCTAAATTTTCGTACGGTTAAGGTGGCCCTGTATGAACAAAACAGCTAAACGCAACAGGTCAAAAAGTCGTTTGATGCAGTGTGAAGAGTATCCTTATTCTCTTTCCAATGCTGTTGTGACTTTGTTTATGATAATTGTAGATACTGCAGATGAGCAGGATGAGGAATTCGACGTTCAGAATGCTCAAGCCAACGATTTGCACGCGGGTAAAATCTTTAGACAAGAATAAACTCTTAAAATTATTATAATGAATAAGGGTAACTTTTGTATCAAAGATATGCCAGGCACTTTAGATCATTAAGTTTTTAGCCTTTCTTCTCACTCTCAGGCTCTTTCAAGAAACGAGGATTTTAAAGGTCCCTTTACACCTGGATATTTATGGCAAAAGGCCTTACCTAAAATTTTCAACAACTGTTGCACGATGGACATGTAACAGTAAAAAAATTTCCGTTCGAAAGTTCGGGGACTGCGATATGTTTCAATTCAACTGAGTAATAGACCTTGTCATGGTTTTGGAAGCCATCTTGAGGAGTAGGCAACCGCGTGAGAAAGTAATTTATCACGCGGTCGCGCGTACTCGTCACTAGATGGCTTCCAAAATCGTGACAAGGTCTATATGTTGCATGGAGCAAAGCTATAGCGTGCCGAAACTGGCTTAAAGTTTCGGGCACTTAGCCTGCGATTTTCAAACGACCTTATTAACTCGCTAGGAACCTTAAGTAGGAAGCAGGAGTAACCTTATCCTTTGACTCGTAGCCCTGAACCGCAACGTGAAAGTTATCAAAATCATAACCTTGATTTCATTTCGCATTCGTAAAACAATTGCTCAAGAGGTTGCAGAAGATTCGCATTAAATCTTAAGTTGCTTTATACAGCTGGGTCCAGCCCTAAGTGCTCTGGGCTCCATAATCTTCGGTTTAAAACAAACAATTCAATCGTTACTGTTAGTCTGAAGCGAATGTATAAAAAATAAAAAATAAAAAAGGGATTTAATTCCTTTGGGCTCTTAGCCTTAGTTGAATCAATTGGGAAATCTCTACTAAAATTTGCTCCCTTTTAAAATGTCTGCTTCTAGAAGATTTTGACAAGTCATTTTCAACAAAGGACCCAGGTAAGTTGACAATATGAATACGATAGTTATAACACTTCGTTAACCACAAAGTTGTCGAATTAGTACACGGTCATTTAGTAGGTTTCTAGCCTACGCCCTTCCCTCTGTGGAGGGCAGGACGAATGAGAAAGGCGTTTTGACAGTAGTTGCTTATCACACCAATGTTGCTCGGGATCGACCCCAGCGTATATGTCGCTTGAGTTTGGTGTTGGTTTTGGTCTTTGCTTCGCGATATTTTCCCCGGTTTTCCCCAATTCGGGTGGATTTGTCTGCAACCATAGTCAGGACACAGGTTTATCAGTTCTTCTGAAACTGTCATGTGTCTCCTTCTCTAAATAAAGTTAGTTTGAGTTTTGCTATCACACCAGCACTCTGCAAACTGAGCTGACTCAGTTGTTTTGAAACGCCATTCTAATCGACATCCTCGATGGATGCTTCTAACACCATGTAGCAGCTGATTTTTGTTACCAAGAAAAACGGAGACACATTTTGCGTTATAACGTTGAGGAAAACAAGAGGGAGTTCAGGTGAAATCCGATGGATTTTTGTCTTCTTCACCTTTCTTTTAAGAAAATTCTTCAGCTAAAGCAGTTTGAGTTCTTATTATATTACATATATACCAATACAGTATATAAACAAAGTACTTGGATTATCGCCTATAAGATGTATGATTTGTTGTAACCTTAATCTTTAGATGATTTGGGGGACACGATTCGCATACACACAGAAGGTAAAGTTGACACAATTTTTGTTTTGCCTTCCCCGGGGACCTCCCGGCTAACGGGCACCTTTTTCAGGCTCCAGCTATATTTCAAGAGTTGACGCCGTATACGTATAAGAATTGTGTCATTTTAGATATTTTTAAAAAAGGTCCGCCACAACTTGAAATGGATAAATAAAATTATAGTTTATTGGTCAGCGCCTCTTCTTCTAATGCTCGATTTTCTCTTATAATAACGTTTACCAACTTCATTCCGAGGGTTTAGAAAAGTCAGTTGTCTTTTTAATGATTAGGTTTGTGAAAGGGGTAGCATTTTTCAATGGTGTAGAGACGTCGACAGCTCCGGTGACTCAATACCACCTACGATTTAGCCATCAAATGTAACCATTTTACGATCGCAATCTTGAGATTAAATTCCTGATACATTTGAAAATTTCTCCAATGCTTTCGACCTCCCATGAAATCTCTTTCACTTCACCCCCAGCAGGGGTGGTGTCCAGCGCGTGTGAGAGGATGGCGTCATCGACTGGAGAACCGTGACTGGACCCCCTTACGGTTCGGGGTTTGAATCAGATTTATTCCGTAATTTTTAAGCTCTAGATTGTGATCGTAGTTTATACGACTGGATTGATGATGACTCTTGATAAGTTTGCACCCAGTTTGTGTATTTACCCTTTTTTACTTTGCCTACACACAATTTTGATCAATATTTCTTGTAAGTAGGGTTGTAAATTTCTTCTTGTTAAGTAAGTTTGTGCACGGGGAACTATCCTTCAACGAAGAGGTATACTCTCGAGGCGGAGCCGGCCTCCCCGTATGAAACTTTGTTGAGTTATCTCCGGATGGTTAAAAGCTGTTTTTAACCATTTCCTTATATCTTTGATAGATGAACAGAGAAATAGCGACAAAGGACCAGTAGAAATACATACAGAAAGTAGGTTTCTTTACCTTGTAGGATATCTAACGAAATGTAAATATTTCAGACAAAATGTACTCTTAGTGGTACGTCCTTCATAATTCGAGCCTGCGTAGCAGGCGTAGTTTTTTTGGTGCGTTATAATTTGGTTTGTGTTTCGTAAAGTAAGGGACAAAGCCGAGCGAGAGCTAATCAAAAGTCAATCGAGAGAACGATGGGGGAGGGGACGGTGGAAAGAAAAGAAAAGGAAACAACAACCACCACCACCACCACAAGGTACGCGGGCTATCGAAAATCTTTTCTATCTTGTTACGCACCTCTGCGACGTATAACTATTGAATCAATTCCAATAGTGCCCATCCCGCCCAGGAATTTAGTAGGCTTTGGTCATTTTTGTTCTTCATTAGGTATCACCAAATTTGGCGTACTGTGACCTATACAGTATCGTAAAAGGAGCATATTTCGACTCCATCAATGCTACTGCTCTTATATGAAGAAATTTTTTTTCTTAGGTGATGAAAAACTCGTTAAACCGGACTCTGATTCCTATAAAGGTTAGTATTCATTCTGATAATCATTCTTTTTGAACATCCACACCCTATCACCACACTATCAAAAAGGTAATAAGAATATTTCTAAATAAGAAAATGCCAAGATAAAGCCCAAGCTAGCAGCATATAAAAGCACGAATTATGATGATTTATGTTTAGATGCAGGGTATTTGAGCAGAGAATTATTTTTCCCTACAATCTAAGTATATATCTACAATAGGTGCTCACCATTAGAAATGTTCACTGAAAGAAGTGAAATCACCACGTCAGTAGTTTTTGGCCTTGTACCCTAGATGTCGGGAAGCTCCGTATTTTTAAGAATTTTACATTCGCTTCATTTTATCATTTTATCACAGGTTCAGATAATTCAAGTGACGATATCGTTAAAGAAGTCGAGGAAGGTAAAAAAAGTTTGCTTTTGTTTTAGTTGGCCAATGTAGACGTTTTTGTCTTAGATGATTCATAATTTTCAGTTTGTATTTGTGTCTAAAATTTTAACATTTCACAACTTTTATTCTTTCTCCTTCACTTCTTTAGCTTTCAAAATTTCTCAGAATGTAAATAATTCATCGTACCTGGAAAAAATCGAAAAAGACATCCAAGATAAAGTAGACGCCATAGCGGCTGTTACAACAGACAATCCTAAAAACCAAACCGAAGATACTAAAACCGCGCATAAAGAGCTGAGTAACGACAAACCAGTAGACAACATTGAAATACACACGGAGACAGAGGCCGAGACACCGGTCAAGCCCAAAGAATCACAAAAAAGCAAGTTTTCGAAACTCAACAAGAAGGAGAGAAGAGTTGAAGTGATGGACCCAGTGGTAAAGACCAGCACTGAAAAAGATAAGGTCTCTCAACATCAGAGTGCAAAAACAGAGTTCAACAAAGACATTGTAATTACTGGGAGGCCTAAACTGAGCGGAAATGTTGTTATAGAATCTACCATGAAGTATAAGCATCCACAAAACGCAGCCCCTAACGGAAAAAGTGCTAACATTGAGAATGTAACTGGTTACGACATCGATGATGTTGCGGGGATGAAAACCCATGTCAATGCAACTCCATCGAACATCACAATAACAGTACCTGAACACATCTCCCAAAGCAAAGCATATCAAAATTATGCGCAGGCCCACAAAATCTTGAGCAAAAATATACAAAACTTAAAAGACGTTCTAAATGCAATTGAAGGTGTACCGGCTAATAGTACTACAGGAAATAAGCAAGGAATTGTTACGATGAAGACAAATGATGGTACGATGGGACCGAAGACTGGAAACGATGAAGCATTAAAGATTGTAAAAGTTAGTGGCACTCCAATAGGTCCTAGTAACAGTAATCATAAAGTACCTGCCGGGTATAAAGTGTTAAAAACCACATCGACAACAGAGACAACCATCACGAAATTACCCGGGCCTCTTTATGCACAAGTGCACAAACCTTCACCAAAATCAGCTACAAACCAGCCTGTAGTCAGCGGGGCTTCCGTTAAAGCGCAAGCGCAGCCTGTGCACGTTGTTTCTTTTCCAGGGTTGCACGTGGTTCAGGGATATGGACACCAAGCGCCTACTGATGTTAGTGCCCAGGGTTCAGCTGATATAGTAGATCACATTGCCAGTGAGCTTATTGATCATAACAGGCAGCAGTCACACGCCCACAGCCATAGTAATTTGCTTCACGTGCCTCGTCCTCAAAACCAGTCTCTCCTCCAGGAAACATTTAAGGAGCTCACTCCCGACAACACCAAAATCTGTAAGTTGGAAAACAGTGTCGCTCTGGGTAGTACACTCGGGTGTTGTAGTGCTAGGGCGAGTTGCCCTAAGGGACTGTATCCAAAGCGAGGCTCAACGCGAAGCCATTGGTATGAGCATGTTTTTTTTATTCTCTCACTTTCTCGCCCCAGGCTTTCTCCAGGATATCTCTCTCTGACAAGAAACTAAGAAATCCTGGGTAACGTGTTCAGAGGAAAGACTGGGACCGGTAAAGAGCGCTACCGGGCGCTACCGTTATTGGCGACACAAGTGTACAGCACTTCACTGTCACTGTAGTGCAAACTCCGTTGAGGGAGAGAATCACACATTCACCTTCCCTCAAAATACAAAGAAAACGATAATTTATCTTAAGTTTTATTACTTGTCACACCATCGATGAAATCCTTGAGTTGGGTAGGTGTTAAGTTCTCAGTGTTTCTACATTTTCGCTTAGTCTTTTTTTTCCTCTAATAGTTTATCTTGGACAGTGTGAGGACAAGTTTCCCAAAGCATGCGAGCAGTGGGCAGCCAAGAGGTTTTGCTTGACATTTGGCGAACTAATGAAGAGATACTGTAGAAAAGCCTGCAAATTATGCAGTAAGTACATAACTCTGACTTATTTTCTACACATGTCCTATTACTGCAAGTTTGTCCATAACGAGTAAGAAAAAAATGAAGGATGATGATCAGCAGATTATTAATGTTACAGGTTATTAAGTTGTTTTGATTTCTACCGCACGAATGTACTTTTCTAATAAGTTTAATGAAACTGAATGCACTGTCTGAAATGTTCTGGCTTTGTGATTCTTCTCTGGCAATAGAGGGTAAAAGGTAAGAATGAAACCCCATTTTGGCCCTTCCAATCCCTTTCTGTAGTTATTTTGAGTTAAAAAAAAATGGCGAATAACCTAAATCTCAATAAATCTTGGTCTTCTCTTTGCCTTCCAATCTCACAAAATTTGATTGCAAATTTCAGCAGGGGAAATCACCAGATCGTAACAAAATAAGTTTCACTATAGACATTCCTGTTTTGTCTCCAGATCACGTGTTAACAACTGGGTTTACACAATGTGATAAGACCTGCGGTGGTGGGATTCGACTACGCATGATCAAAGTCAATAACCGCCAAGTGTTGCAGAGAAGATCATGCAACGTACACAGCTGTCCAGGTATGCGAGTGAAAAATTATTTAGTTTACGTTTAAGCAGAAAGAGATAGATTTAATTACATTTAAAAGTTTTAGCTAAGCCTCCAGTCAAAATTGTGACTTAGCTAAGTATATCAGGTCAAAAAGGGTTAGTAGTAAAGTTTTGTACTTGAAATAAATATTTGTAATTATTATTAAATGAACATTCTCAGTTATAAGGGTGGAATTTAATTTACATTCAATGAATTGGGCTATTTCTGCTTAAATTTGTTTTCTCACGAACCTGTGGTTAGATGCATATCCTGTAAAGAAAGAGCGGTTGGGTTGAGGTTATATTTATCTCTTTGGTTTCTGTTGTTTCGCCAAATTTTATTCGTTTAATAAGGCTTAATGTTTCACATAGTTCTCTGTTTTCTTTCCAGTCAACGGAGGCTACACGCCTTACTCGGAGTGGTCGGAATGCAGCGTGACATGTGGCGAAGGAGTGCGTTACCGTCACAGGTCATGCACCAATCCCAAGCCCCAATTCGGTGGACACGATTGCAGTCATTTTGGACCTCCTGTTGATACCATGCCGTGTGTAAAGGGTTGTAAAGGTAACGCCATCCTAGAATAATAGTATTATGATACTACTAATAACAATAGCATTAACTATTTTACTAATAATGTAACAATAATAATAATAATAATACGACTAAGGATAAATAATAACGATAATCACATCAGGAGCCCATAACCCGGAGCGAGCAAAATCCATGCGCTCGTGTCACGTATTTTCAGGGACCAGTTTATTTTTAGAACGGTTTTGGCGCTAACTTTAAATATTTTTTAAATTCCACAAACCAGTCAGCAAGCCCTGCAGACCTAAAAATGATATTTTTTGCCTTTTGATAACATTTATTTTTCCTTTTTGATATCTTATACTCCGAATGCGACGTGGTGGAGATCCTTATTTCGCGGAAAAAAAGAGCCCTGAAATGGGTCTAAAAATAAACTGGTCCGTAAAAACGCCGCGACATAGGCCTAGGATGGGAGTTGCTCGCTCCGGGTTATGGGCTCCTGATGACTCTGATAACACTAAACATGCAGAATCAATGTTTAAAATGATTTCACAGATGTCATTTGCAACTCAGAGCCAGCACATAGTATTTAGAGTAATCCCGACAATACTATATCCAACACCAGACAGAGTGTTTTAAACAATTATCGATATACCGAGAAGCGAGAAATGTGATTCAGAAAAGAACAACTGAAAAACGAGATTCGAGGCAGCTGCGTTTTTGCGACATCGCTTTCAAGTGTCTAAAAATTAGATGAATTCTTGAGTAAATTCATACTAAGGACCACACAGGCGCAGTCTTCTGCGAAATAGAAAAAAAAGTTAACTAAAGGTACCACAGTCCATGTGCTAGTCATGACGTGAAAACACGCTATGTTTCCACTGAGCAGTCGTTGTAACTGCCTTATGAACACATTAGGGACCTTAACCAAAGACGTTTTTGAGCGACGCACGCCAACCGGAAGTGAGGCCTTCTCCCTTTCTATATGCCTTGACGCTAACAAACTTGTATTGCTGAGTTTCTTTTCTCTTTTAAAGACGATTTACCCGAGAGTTTCAACCAAACCACTCCCCAATGATGCAAAAAGTCCACTTCCGGTTGACGTCCGTCGCTCAAAAACGCTGCTGCTTAAGCTCCCTAATAACATGATTAAGTGCCTCGAGGTATATTCAAAATAGTTACCCACTTCTACTGTATTGTTAACGAAAAAACTATTACCATTACCGATTAAAATTAAAAAACTGAAATAACTAACCATGGCAAAGTTTTTGATTAATACTTAGGATTCAACCCTGCTAGACACCATTCCACAACGGGTAAGTTACTAAATGTAAATGAGGAATGTGACAAACTGTAAGCATCACATTTGTTCGATTTGTTTGCCTCAGCTAAAGAGGTAATAATCCCATATTAATCATTACCATATTAGTCTATGTACTACTTGAAATAGTGCACTTCTCCAATAAACGCTGCACCCGATCTAGGCCATGCACTTATATGTAAGAGCAACCGATACGTACCAATATGGACTGCACCCTCTAAGCAACAATTCAACTCTTACTGATTTCTTTTTTTGACATTGTTAACGCTGATAATTATGTGCTTTATTATACAAATAATGTAACAAAAGTCCTTTTATTTAGATCCTGATAATTATCCAGAGTACAAAGCCGAGGAATCAAATCCAACGATATTAGAAGCTGGTAAGTAAGTAAAAAAGGAATTGGTAACTTGAATCAGAATGGCGATGAATTCTTATTTACTTACTCATTTACCGCTCTTCTAGTTACAAAGCAAAATAGGCTCGCTAATAAGATAGTTCTTGCAGTTAGCTTGAAATTTAGAGATGGCTGAGGCCCCCTGACGGAACCGTTTATTCAACTTCGTTGAGCTATGTTTAGTGTTTTGTTTGTTACTCATTTGTTTTATTTTCAAAACCGTAAGTGGAAAACGATAACCTTCGGGTTTATTGCTTGCTTCATATTCTATTCCATATAGGCAAGGCATGTTTCAAACGTCGTGCTTCTACTGCCCTTCTAAGCTGGCTCAACTTTTGCACGACTCTAAATAAAATAGCTGTTGCGGACAAAACATAAAAATAAAAAGCGGTTTAGAGAACTTTTAAATGTATTCTAATGTATTTATATGACTTGATTCAAACCTGGTGCTTCTCCCGTGTTAAATTCGAATTTATTCGTAATTTTTTCAATTGAGTGCGGAACCGGTAGTAGCACGCACGACGTTTGAAACAGGCCTAAGTCTTAAAAGACGCATGTCAATAGTAATTCAAGTATTTTGTGCATGTGTTCTTAAGTTGGTGAAAGTGAATCGGGTGCGAATAGTGGAGATGAAGATTCAGGAGAGCATCCTGCTAAAGGCAAGTGGCTATATAACTGATTCTAGTAAAATCCAGCTGGAGGTCTGTTATTAACGCTGCGTTCTGATTGGTTGGGCCACTACTAGGCTGTATGTTATAGGCCACTAGTAGCGAAAAGCGCGGGCTTTTTGGCGGCAAAAAAGGATTAAAGTCTAGTTTTAACTAGCTAAAATTTTTTTAATTCTCGATAGTTTTGACCAACTAGTTGGATTTTACTCATGGCCTCTGAGTTAATAGCCCATTCGGCCTTCGGCCTTATGGGCTATTGACTCAGAGCCTATTGGGGCTCGAGGAATAATTGTTAAAAATTTACATCTTGAATTTCGACAATATTTAAACAAAATTTCCTATTACAAGTATAAAAGTCTGAAGTTGTACAAGATTGGGAATACAAAATGTTCGCCTGGTTACATCTGCCTGAATTGTTTTTTAGGAGAAGATCATGAATTTGAATGGCCAAGTAAACATCACCGAAAAAAGCCAATTATTCTTCATCATGTACACAACAATCTTTACCAGCACCGCGATGACCATGGCAAGACTCATTATCTGGACGTAGGTAAGCTACAAGTAATCTTAAATAGTTCTTAAGCCTGCCTCGCCGACAACTGTGCCTCAGGCTTGCTTTTCTAATTCCTTTCTCGCTGTCCTTAATGGCAGTGCTGAAGATGCGCTAGGGTACAGAATCATGAACGCAGATTACTAGCGCTGCAGATCTTGATCCCAGCCGATCAAACTGTTTTGTTACCCATTCACCCAAGGCGGCACGGACTGGTGTGCCAGTGTCCGGGTCAGCTGAAGAGAGGCTAGTTTAGCGGTGCTAGCAGCGCCCCTATCCCGCTTAAGAATGTCATCTAGGGTGGTATACAGGAGAAGCCCACAATGTCTTTGTCTGTGAAGGGGCTCCAAGATCACAAGATCAGGTCCCTTTGGGTAGGTTTTTGCCGGAAGCTGTGAACTAAGAGACCTTGTCTCCGCCGGGACACCTTGCTGGAGCCTTTGTTGAGAGCGTTTTATACAAGACTTCATTGAGCACAAGCTCTGCTAGGAGATGTTCAGGACTGCTCGAAGCATCCTGGTAGAGGTGCCGTCATAGGAATCCATAAGAGCAGAAGTCAGTACCCAACATAAAGTTTCAGCCTATAAAACCAATACCCATGGTCTTAAAATAAAGATGAGAAAAAAGCTTCTTCTGACGGACACCATCAGGGTTCCTTTTCCCTGCAAACAGCTACACTTTTACGTGGCCGGCCGAGATGATGGGGTTGTAATGGCGGTCTTATCTTCGCCGGCAGCGGAAGTGAAAAAGTACCTTTAATTAGTAATTGACACTTTTAAAAATGAAGCACTGTCTGGTTGAGTTTTCGTTGCCTTTGAAATGCGAACCCGTATTTTTCCTCTTTATCAATTCTTTAGACGAAGAACAGAGTCCTGATGACGAATTCCAGACACACGTGGTACGATATCACGGTCAAGAAGGTATGTAAGCATAATCTCAAACTAGCCAGGCAATTGGTTGCTATCAAGTCAACAAGTGTGCGATGATAACCATACCACAGCAAAAATCACTTAGCTGCTTTCTAAGTGAAAATATAATTATTATTTCTGCTCTTCTCGCTGTTTGATCAGGAATGGCTTTTTTATACTAAATTCGCGTTTTATGTCTGGACGAACTTGGGCAAACATTTTGTAGTTCCTCTAGTATGTGTCAGTCAATTAGATGCATTATTGCATTATGTGTCCTGACGAATTAGTTCTTCTTCTTGTGCTCATTTTTACACTCTAGACGCATAAAGGCTGGTTTTCACTAGCGACGGAGTCGGAGTCCGAGGCGTAAGCGGAGTCGTATAAAAGCGCTTGACTCATTTTAAATCAAAAATCGGAGTCGTAAGAAGAGTCATAAGCGCGAGGGAATCGGAGTCGGAAGCCAATCAGAACGTTTCCATTTTCTTCCGACTCCGCTTATGACTCTGTCGCTTATGATCTGGTGAAAACCAGATTGTCGGAGTTGGAAGCAGAAGCGGAAGGATAAACCAATTACAATGCACGTTCTCTGTTGCGACTCCAACAATCTGATTTTCACTAGATCGTAAGCGACGGAGTCGCAAGTGGAATCAGAACGCTTGTTTTCCTTGATTTTAAAGTTCTAAGCTTCTGATTACGACTGCTGCAAAATGTTTGCCCAAGCTTGCAGGGACTGATAATGCCACTCTTTGTATAGTAGTATAATAACGGCCACAGACGTTCAAGGTCTCGACCCGGGCACCCGCCCCGTGCTCGAATTGGGGCGTGTGGCACTGACAAAGGGGTGTGTTCACATTAGTACCCAGCAAGTACTTTACTCATGTGCTAGTTCCCGGGCGCCAAGTGGCAATGCTGCCTAAATTCCTGCCACCGGTTAGAAAAAAACTCGAATATTTTGCTTCCTTTTAGTGGCCAAGATGCAATGCGGCCCCTCTCGACTGCTTCAGTACCAAAGAAACCCACCAAACGTCCCCGTTGCTGGTTACAAGAGGTCTAATACGTTCAAGATGTATGAAGGTGGTCAGCTCATGTACGATAAAGAAGGACTTCCAACAGATACTACGAAGAATATCGTAGAAGCTTTTGACTCGTAAGTTTATATAAAACGTAGGAGTTTCGTCCATTGCTTTTTGTTTCGATTTTAAGGTAAATAATAGTCTAGCTTGCCCCACAAACCTTAGAAAAAGCAATTTTCACGATGCCCAGGTAAAAGGGGTTACACTGAAGTTCACATTTCCTCGTAGTACTTGCCACGGCACGGGGCGTCTATGGACGAATTTTGTTCTCTACGCCGCTTTCGGTGAAAGACCTATAGGACCTAATGACAAGTAGCGGTCTCACTGACAGTTTTAGCCTGTTTTCCAGGGTAGAGGTATCATTCCACTGGAAAATGCCTCAATTTAACCTCCGGCTATTATCGCTTATCAGAGCCGAACAGAGTTGTAGTCTTTTTATAATTTTACCTATACCTCTGTTCAAGTATTGATAACCATCGGTCCAGCCTCCTACTCGTTGCCTTTGATGAATTTGGTTACTTTGTTTCGTGCAAATATGAAGTTTAATACAATCACAAGAAATTTAATAGAAGCCTTAGTAATAATAATCCCTTTCCCCTAGTCCTTATAAGATCATTCTTCAACGAAACAAGAACAATCAAATGAAGGTATTGGAGCAATGCATAGAATCAGGTGAGAAGAACTATATGTATGATGTTTCAAGTATTATTCCTCATTCAGTGTCGTAAATAACTATATAAGTAAAAACCAAAACAAAATAGGAACAAAATAAAGGAACGGAAGGTAAATAAGGGACGGCTAGTTTCTTAAAAAATGGTGCAGTTGCCATGAATGTAGCTCACTTATGTGATGTGCAGAAGTATTTGGAATTATTCGCGACGCGTGAAAAGCATCAATATTTTTACGTGAAAGCATTTTTTATACTATGGGACCCTCTATAAGCGTGATGCCAGACCTGCCTGCTTGCTTACGGTTGCGTCGACGTTAAAATTTATGCAGCTGGCACCAGATCATTGAGGTGAGATAACTAAGAAGCATGTATAAAATACTGGACGTGTACATGGAGTATAATGACGATTCTGAAAAGCTAGAAAACGGAAGAAATTTTAATATGAACCATAAGCATTACGCCTTAAATTTGACCATTTTAAAATTTGTTATCAATCACATTTTCTTAGACGCCTCTGTGAACCCTGATAATGACTTAAAGGATGATGCGCAAAGCTTTGGTAAGTTCTAAATACTTTAAATTGCAAAATGGTGAAGAAATGAACGTAAGCCCAACTTACCAGTATGAGGAAAAGTAGATCTTGGGAATGGATAACAGGACCCAACTCTGGACATTTGGCGGTGTCACCAAGCTGATAAATAAGTTTAATTTTTTGAACACTTGTGTGTTTCACTTTTTATATGATTTATTTTTAATTATCTATAAAAAAATGCGGGACTGCTGTCAATTACTCTTACTAACAGCTACCTTTTACCCATAATCGCAAAACATACAAAGATATACTTTTTTGGGTAGGAGGTGGGACATTGTCTATACATTGTTTCTTAGTAACCGAAACTGAAATTTGTAGAATTCTTTTCGCGGGTTAGCGAGAATCAAACAAATTTATCTCCTTAGATGGATTAGTACACTTCAGGTTGGCAGATTCGGCAAGACCTTTCTTGGGCGGAACGCGTGTAGGTAGCTGGAGTTGGTCACTCTGTTAGTTTGGAAATATTGTGTCGATTTAATTTGAATGCTTCATGATACTCATGATACTTCATGATCATCATATGGCAGAAAACAAAAAGGAAACTTTTTCTTTTTTCAGCTGGAACCACTTCGCTGGGTAGCGAGCAGCACCCTCTTCCTGCCAGTACAAGAATGAATACAGAAAGAACAACCTCTAACCGATTCACAGAAAACGGTGGGTGGGTGGGTAAAGTAGGAGATGGGATGGGAGGGTAGAATTTCAAACTCAACTCAGACAACTTTTAACTTCTGAAGGTAGGTCGGAAGAAAAAGTTGTATGGAATACTGCACAATAAACTCGCGACTGAGCACGAACAGTCCTATGTTCGAACTCCGCTTAATATTAATAATGAGTAGTAGTGGCTACCTGTTGGTTTAAGAACGACGAGGTCTGTGCTTTGCTTCATAACTCAGCAGACTCCACCTTATGCAACTTTGATGAAGACTGTTGTGGCTCTAGAATTTGGTTGTTAGAACAGGGGTTGAGGCAGCCCTGTGATGGCATTTAAAGTTGCTGCTGTTGAATTAAATAAAGATCGCGTCGAGAACCATATTTTTATCTCAAGAGAACTCGAAGTTCAAAGGAGTAAATTACTATGCACTACAGCCCCCAAATTTTAATGAATTTAAGCGTCTAGAGTGACATTTTTTTGCTCAGCATGAGTAAGAAAAACCAAAGAAGGTTAATACAATCTTTCACGCTGGGGAAACAGTCACTTCAGGTAGTTTCAGGATGCGGTTTATGATTACTAGTGTACAAACCAGGAGGCAGCGTGGCAGGGTGGCCGAGTAGTTAGAGCGCCGGACAATTCGGAAGCCTCGAGTTCCTCGCCCTGACCGCAAGCTAGATTTGTCCACTCTAGTCCCGAGGTCAAATCTTCGACCAAGCTTGTAAACAGCCCGCTGATTTGCCTCCGGCCGGTTGGGATTCTTACCCCTGTTAAGCTCAATTTGCTCGGCCCCACTAGCATTAGTGCCATAAATACTGCCGAGGGTAAATAACGGAATTATTATTATTATTATATTACAATGAATAAATACTTTCTGATTAGTAAATTTTTCTTTAATTCAAGGTTTATACGAATACAAGTACCAGGACATAGGAGAAGGTGTAGATGATCCCCCAAAGACACTAGGTAAACAAGTTTAGCCGACACTACAAAAGCCTTGTTGAGTTTCACTTGTACCAAAACACGTTCGATAGGATGTCTGCATGTGTGACTTCTGATAATTAATGTGCCACACTTCAGCTTCGCCAGTCAAAGTTCATGCGAGTGTGTTTTGAGAGGGAATTAATTTCTTATCCCCTGCGCAAGTTCTCCCTCAATTAAAGACTCAGTAGCCTCCAGTCCAATTAAATTCAAGGGTTCTCTTATTAAGCTAGCTACGCCAATAACGGGGACCTTTTTTGTTATCAATACTATTGTAGCCCCGTTATTTCGTCAGATCTCCCGTAGTGGGGCATCCTGGACCACTGTTATTCCGACTAATATCAACGAGGTGTGAAATTTCTAGATGTCCTATTGGTTATACCTTGAGCTGATTCTACAGAAAAATGTGATTATGGACTCGCATTTTGATTAGTAATTCCTTTTAATGATCTTGATTCAGTTTCATTTTACCAGACAGCCAAAAACAAAAACCATGTGGTACCTTAACTCTAGACCTCTTAGGAGATGCAGAGGATAAATTATAAGGAATGAGCTATATTATTGGCTGCATCACCACTCTGGCCCCTCTTTGGTCTCAGTCTTACAAGCCAGTTCGATCAGTATATAATTGAAGGATGCATTCCTCCTTGTCCGAAAAAACTGAAATGCATGTAAGGGTTGCCAGACTTAGGGCTAAAATGACCCGTGAGCTGAACTAGATCTGGTGTATGTGGTTTTTGTCACTATATAAATTAGGCAAGGATGTCACAGATCAATTGTCCAGAGTAATCAAGAAAGAGACAGCTGGAATAGCTCAAAGATTTTTAAGGAATGAAGGTACTAACATTGCTAACTATAACAAGCATGCTGAAAATATTTAAATAACTATAACTTTTTATCTGTATAACAATTTAAATAAAGTTTACCTTGCATCAGCTGAATCACTATACTAGTAACTAACCTTGGCCTCGCTTATCAAATTTTAATCGGTTAAAATATTTAGATGGAGCTAATTAGTTATCATCAATAAGAAAAGTAACTAAATTTCGATATTATTAAAGTTAATTTTTTGAAGTTTGGACTAATCGACAAACTTACTAACCCGTTGACTTCAGTAGCGGTTAGGTTATTTTCTTTATCCTAAAACAAATTGAATTCTTCGTTAATACAATGGAACAGACGGAGCTGCATGAAAAGTTTACAGTAGGCAAATCAACATTAAAAGTGTTTAAATTAGACGCTCAACGCGCAACTTGCAGAAATACACCTGCCACTTTTTGTGCGCTTGACTATACATGAGCATACGTTGCTCCCGATCGCCTTATTAACTGACACCTTTTTGTACTTTCCAATTATTCAGATCCCAAGCCCACTCTTAATGAAGAACTAGCAGAAGAGAAAGCTGAGGAGTTGAGAGAGAAAAAATATGAAGACGCACTTGCCAAAAGATCAAAACCGTTAACAGGTAGATAATTCTAATCAAAATGTGTATCGTAGAGCTAATTGATGCTTTTCTCTTGACAACAATGGCTTACAAGTTTTCGTTGAGCAACGAGCGTCATTATTTTTTTGGAAGGATGGGGTCTTTTGCGTTCCATAAGGAACGGTGCAGATTATGCATTTCTGAACATACTTTGTTTTCAGTTAAAGCCATTAAAATGATAGGCAGCTAATTCAGGAAGGATAGATCCTTGCAAGATTACCTTATTTTGGAAGTTCTGTCCAACTTGCTAGAGTTAAACACTGCTAAAATTTTTAAGAGAAAACGACTGTTATTTTTGCTAATCACGGACCACACTTTTCGTCCAACCTTTGTCTCATACAGATGCGCCAAAAACATCCACTTGATAGGAAAATATTCCCTGAATGTTGCTAATTTTATTTTTAGCCTTATATTCAGGCTAATTGGTGGAATCAAGAGCCAAAATGGGCCTGTGATGCCCTGGATTTATCACTATCAGTATTTTGTAGTCATGAATTCTTATCTTTGTGACTTGTCGTTTCAGGAAATTTGTCGCTTTAGGAAATTACCAGGACCCTGTGCACAGAGCACTAAACACAATATTCTATGGTCTAAGATTCAATGACAGTCGACAGTCGCATTAGCTCCCATTACTGTGGTGTTTTCGTCCCAACTGTCTTTAAAAGACAGACTGTGGGGGGAGTCACTTAATTCAGATGGAAACGGCAAGTGACTTTAAAAAGAGAAACAATGTTTCGACGTTTTCAGAACATCACTGTTTATTTAGAGCAAAAGTAACAAATTTTCTTCACGAACAGAAAGTTGATCAAAGTTTCAACCAAATAACTTTAAAATGTTTAGTTGATTAGGGGGTATTAATTTTTAAGAATTAAATCATGTTAGATAAATGATAACAAATTATTAGGTATAAAGATTGATACTGCCATTATCATAACCCAGCGGGCAAATTTTAAGACACGACTTCCAGCCTATACCTGTCACAAATAAAGATAAGTCTTATCACATTTGAACATATGAACTAAGTGTAAATATTCGCTAAGAAAGAATCCTTGTTATATATATATTCATCTGTAGAATAAGCAATAAAACAGACTGGTAATCAAAAGGTCCTTTAGTCTGTATGTTATATATGTTTCTTTTATAATAAAAGGCAAAATGAAACGCTCTTGTTTGTATTTTCTTTTAGTCTTGTTTTAGTAACCTTTTCACGTGTAAAAGGGCCATGTCTGAAACAGCCCTTTTCACAGTTTTGTGCTTTGTAACCTGGCTTTGTAACAAGAAAAACAAAAGAGATTTACAACATCAAGGAAAAAGAGAAACGAATGAGTTAAATATGTAATAAGTAGGTAAATAAATGTTACAATACATTAAATTATTAAATTTCATTAATAAGGGTGTCTATATCAGCATAATTATCTCTTTGAAGATCAAGTTGTCATATGTAGATTGTTTATTTGTTTCTTAAAAGCATGCTTCGGGAGTTTTCTCAAACAAGACGCTGTGGGAGCGTATATTTGGGCGTCGATGTACGACGCGTGGGTACAGTTATTTTTGTATATTTTGGAAGTGTGATTAGTGCAGGAGCGTTGTATGTTTTAGGGGTTGGTTGTGACGCGTGAAGTGGAAGGCGTGGAGCTATATTTGACGTGAATGTAAGATAATGGCTGTAGTTTTTTAATCACTGTGGAACTTGTTTCTCGTAGAATATAATCCGAAGTAACAAAAAATAATTATTTTGGGAGGTAAACGATGATTTTAGTAACAAAAAAATTTTGGGGAGGTAAAAGTGATTTTAGGTCATGCATTGAGGCAGTTGTGGAAGTACTAATTTTGTTATGAAGGGATAGTGTAGTTACAGTGTGTTGAAATGAAGTGATGATTTTGAAAAGTCTTATCAATAGTCCAAAACATACTTGTACTTACTTTAAACGTTGTTAGGATTTCTGTTTAGGATTGTTTTTCGCATATTTTTGATATTTGTATGGAGAGAACATGGATAAGGCAAAAAGTTAATTTAATATAGAGAAGGGGTATGAAGATGTTGAGGGGGGAGAGGGGTATGCTCGGGGGCTTTGAAAAGTCGGTGAGGTCCAGGGGAGGGCGTAAAATCTGGCTATAGGATTAAGGGCCTAATAACATGAGCCAGGCTGGCTCGTTATCCCGGCACTAGGCCTTACTTAAACGCCACAAAAATCAACTTTGCGATCATATGACAACCGAGCCAGCCCGGTTAGCTGGGATCCCAGTCATGCCGGGATCTCCGGGTGAGAGTGTTCATCTATTCTATCAAACCGGTGATGTAGATTACCCAGCCTGCTATGGTTACCAATAATAAAACACTTGTTTTTTTTTTCAAATTTAGACTCAGCTTGTTTGCTTGTAGCTAGGTCTAAATGTCAACTAAGTCGCTACTTAATTTAGAGTGTTTACGCGCTGGATTAATATTACACAAACTTATAGTAAAAGTTGCGTCATCTGCAAATATTCGTGGCACAGAATATAAAGGACGAGCAGGGAGGTCATCAATATAGATTAAAAACAATAGAGGTCCTAGAATGGATTCCTGCGGAACACCGCAAGTTACAGGGTAATATGTCCATTTACAAACGCTTTTTTGGTTACGGTTAGTCAAATATGAGCTAAACCACTTAAGAGTTAGGTAATCAGTTCCCGAAAGTTGGAGTTTTTGAAGTAAAATTCGGTGATCCATCGTATCAAAAGCGTTTTTGAGGTCGACAAAAAGTACCTCATTAATTAGTCCATTTATACATATTTAAGAACCATTTATACTGGTAGCTTCTAGAAGAGCAGTCTGAGTGGAGTGAAAGGGTCTAAAACCGGACTGATTATCTGCTAAGAGATCATATTTTATTTTCGTAAAATCCAACTAGTGGTCTATTATCAATGCTGCGTTCTGATTGGTTGAGCTACTATTAGGCTATATGTTATAGCCCACTAGTAGCGAAACATAAACTATGATTTAGACGTTTTTGATAGGGGTGAAAGATAACGAAATTATTATTTTTTTAATATTAAGGGAGAGTTTAATCGCAGGTCTCTGAACCATTCGCAAACTTTTAATTACTCGAGCTGGTTCAAGGGAGTTTCAAGAGACTTCAGTTTTTGTCGGCATGGGTCGCACTTGAGACAAAACTTAGACAAGTTTGTTTTGATAACCAAAAAATCCGTCAAATTCCTGTCATCAGTTGACCACGCCAAGTGCGACCTACTTGTCTCGACGCAGACAAAATCTTCAAAAGTGCCGTCGTCCTGCCTCGGAGCACGACTTTTTGCGAACAACAAACAAAAATTGTTTTTCTTGCAGTAAACCTGTCAGTCAATTCAGTGAACCTTAAAATTTTTTCCCCTTCACATTTCACTTTTTGTTGTGACTTTCGTATCGTTCACGGCTAATAATGAATCCAGGATTTCGAAACAATTTTCCCGGTTTTTGGGACATCCATTCTGATCAAATGATGAACCTAAATGAAGCGCAAGACCACTATAGGCCAGGGCAATTGTTCTTGAGGCAGCAAATTCCGCAGAACACCTTTCCACCAGCGACGGCAGTTTTGGCGCCCTTTCAGCCTCTCCAACCGGCACAAGCAGGCTGCTCTGCTCTAGCTCCCACGCCACCTGAAACACCAGAACCCCAAGAGGCGTCCGAGTCTGGCAATTCGGGGAAAGCAGGAAGAGGGTACGGAAAATGGGGAGAAGAAGAGGAGAAGCTTCTTGTGCAGTTATGGTGTGACAAGAACACAAGGCTAGAGTCGCGGCACGCGAGACAAGTCTGGGAGGAGATTGCTCAGGAAATTTCGAAGATCCGAAAGGTTACCAGTGCCCAATGCCAACGGAAAATGAAATACCTTAAAGATAGGTACAAGGAGGCCAAAGACCACAACCGTCACTAGACTGGGGGCGAACGCCATTTTATGACGAGAACGACTCCGTTCTTGGATGTCGTGACATCGTGACATTCAGTCACATTGAAGAATCTGCGCCAGGATCATCTTCGAGTTCCCCTAATTCAAATGGAAAGGAGGGAGGACCAGAAGACGATGAAACTGTAGACGATGAAGAATTCGAACAGTCTCTCGCCGCCTTTGGTCTTAAACGAAAGAAGGAAAGGAAGAGTCAACGCGACGAAAGAAACCGCGCCAAAGGTGCAAAAGCTCCGCGCAAAGAACAAGGAGAAGGCGATACTCTTTTCCGCGACAGTATGAAGAAGTTGCAGGAGCAGAGAGACAAAATTTCTGGGGTGCTGGAATCAATGGACAGAAATCAAGCGCAGCAGCTCCAGCTCATGAATCAATTTATGAACAATTTTATGCAAGCAATGCAATCATCAAAGGACAAGTAGTGATTCAGAACAATTATCTCTTTGATGTAATAATTATTGCGAGGTTCCCTTTTCTCTTAATTTAAACAATTACATATTGTCGAGTGATTCGAAGTGTGATTGAAATTGTAAATGTTACTGTTTTTGAATCTTATAGTTTCATTACATCACTGAAAATTGGTCTATCTGTAAGAGTTCTATTGATGAAAAATGTCATTGAGTAATAACAATCACTTGATCAATCTTTGAACTTGATTAAGTTTTTTTTAATATTGTCAACAATAACTTTGCTGTATCGTATCGGTGACTTTTTCGTTCCGTTGCTAAATTCTTCATTGAAATTATAAGCCATATTCTTATCTATAATTTTGAATCATAGAAATACGAAAGTGTTAAACAATTAAATAATTCATTTAACTGAAACAGCATTGTGTCAATAATCTTTTTAAATCTTCCTTTCCTACAAATTCCAAAGATAATTCTTTAAAAAGTCTCTTAAATCCGCGCCATCAGCATTCCCATCTCGGACAGGAAAATCGTCATCATTTTCATCTTCATCATCGTCATCATCCCATAAATCTCCGGCTTCAATGCAAAAATTGTGGAGCACACAACATGCGATGATGATCTGATTGGTAAATGCTATATCAC